TTAACGCTCTGCTCAGTGATGATCTCGCTTTAGATCGATCACTTAGAGACATCCGTCATCCCAAGTAAGTGGTAGTTTCTGACTGTAAATGCAGGAAGTCCATTAGCTAATTATAAAATGCATCAAACATTATTTTGTTAATAGCTGTGACTAAATGAAAGTACTAACCTAATAATCATACGTATTGCATTGATTACCTTGACTCGTTCAAAGGAAAACAGCTTTGCAGAAATTTAATCCATCACCATTTACCCACATTCTGGCATAAATACCTAAATACATACATGTGTAATACACTTATTATCAACATTCTTACAAAACTTCCCTAAAAGGAAAGTAAATAATTTTCACTTTTTTTTTTGGACTAAGCATACAGTACCCTATCAGTCATCCAGTCATAACAGTGCAATAAACACTGGTCAGTGCACAAATGAACCCATGTGGAGACAAAACATAATATGTGTCCCATATATTTTAACCCCATCCCAAGTTTGCTGAAGAGGACTTCGGTGTGGGATCAAAATATACAGTACAGTGCAGTAATATTATTTGCTCTTTTATTGTCTTCATACAAGTTTGTAACATTTGCCGATCATGTTTGTGTCTTTAGTAACTAGCAACATTGCTTCCATCTTCATTGTCTTCCACTTTTTTCAGGTGCAAGACAAAACTTTATAGTGCCAGACTGCCAACGGTAAGTGTGGTGATTCCCATTTTTGAGGAACATTGGACCACCCTCTTACGCACGGTTGTCTCCGTCATAAACCGTTCTCCTCAGAAACTTCTGAAGGAAATCATCCTAGTTGATGATGGCAGTACTATTAAGGGTGAGTCATGATCATAATTATCTATACTGTAAGTATACAGCCCAACCCCATCAGAATACATGTTATTTGTACTCAATATGGTAATACAGGTACAGTACTGCACATATTACTTGCAGTACATATGACAATTGCTAATATGTAGGTCTACATATAATAGTGCAGTAACAATAATAATCATATAATTTTACAACAATAATGAGAGTGCAAAAATTATAGGGGGATAAGTCTGTTGAGTATACCTGGTAAAGTGTATGGTAGAGTTATTATTGAAAGAATTAAGAGTAAGACGGAGAATAGGATAGCAGATGAACAAGGAGGCTTTAGGAAAGGTAGGGGGTGTGTGGACCAGGTGGTTACAGTGAAACATATAAGTGAACAGAAATTTAGATAAGGCTAAAAGGTCTTTGTGGCATTTATGGATTTGGAAAAGGCGTATGAAGGGTGGATAGGGGGGCAATGGGGGCAGATGTTGCAGGTGTAGGGGTGTAGGAGGTAGGGTTTACTGAAAGCAGTGAAGGTTTTAACGAGGATAGTGAGGCTAAAGTTAGAGTATGTAGGAAAGGGGGAAAATTATTTCCCATTTAAAAGTAGGCCTTAGACAAGGATGTGTGGTTTTCCCCGTGGTTGTTTAATATATTTTTTAGATGGGGTTGTAAGAAAGTAAATGCAAGGGTCTTGGCAAGAGGCGTGGAGTTTAAAAGATAAAGAATCACACATAAAGTGGGAGTTGTCACAGTTTTCTCTTTTTTGATGACACTGTGCTCTTGGGGGATTTGAAGAGAAGTTGCAGAGATTGGTGGATGAATTTGGTAGAGTGTGCAAAGAAGAAAATTAAAAATGAAAACAGGAAAGAGTAAGGTAATGAGGATAACAAAAAGATTAGGTGATGAAAGATTGGATATCAGATTGGAGGGAGAGAGTATGAAGGAGGTGAATGTATTCAGAAAATTTGGGAGTGGACGTTGTCAGCGGATGGGTCTATGAAGATGAGGTGAATCATAGAATTTGATGAGGGGAAAAGGTGATTTGGTGCATTAGGAGTCTGTGGAGGCAAAGAACTTTGTCCTTGGAGGCAACGAGGGGAATGTATGAGAGTATAGTTTTACCAACGCTCTTATATGGGTGTGAAGCATGGGTTGATGAATGTTGCAGCAAGGAGAAGGCGGGAGGCAGTGGAGATGTCATGTCTGAGGGCAATGTGTGGTGTGAATATAATGCAGAGAATTCGTAGTTTGGAAGTTAGGAGGAGGTGCGGGATTACCAAAACTGTTGTCCAGAAGGCTGGGGAAAGGGGGTTTGTTGAGGTGGTTCGGACATGTAGAGAGAATGGAGCGAAACAGAGTGGACTTCAAGAGTGTATCAGTCTGTAGTGGAAGGAAGGCGGGTAGGGGTCGGCCTGGGAAAGGTTGGTGGGAGGGGGTAAAGGAGGTTTTGTGTGCGAGGGGCTTGGACTCCCAGCAGGCGTGCGTGAGCGTGTTTGATAGGACTGAATGGAGACAAATGGTTTTTAATACTTGACGTGCTGTTGGAGTGTGAGCAAAGTAACATGAAGGGGTTCAGGGAAACCGGCAGGCCGGACTTGAGTCCTGGAGATGGGAAGTACAGTGCCTGCACTCTGAAGGAGGGGTGTTAATGTTGCAGTTTAAAAACTGTAGTGTAAAGCACCCTTCTGGCAAGACAGTGATGGAGTGAATGATGGTGAAAGTTTTTCTTTTTCGAGCCACCCTGCCTTGGTGGGAATCGGCCAGTGTGATAATAATAATAAAATAATATGATTATTATTGTTAGGACCTGGAGTTTACTATTTCAAAAGTCAGTTAGCCAAAAAATGAGCATGTTAGTTTTTCATAACATTTAAACATCATTTAGGACAGTAGTAGTTGAGAACTGGAGAAAATGTCTGGACTACAGTCATAAGTAGTGGTATAATGTATCAACATTATCCAGTAAGGGTATTAAATGTTGAGTTCACATTTTTATATTTTTTTTTTTTTGCCCATGCTCTGAAACATGGTGAATTCAATTAAATCATCACAGAAACAGTAGCAGGTGGCTTTTTTAACATCAACCTAAAGTGTTCTAAGTTTCATGGTGGGAAAGGTGTTATAAGTCGCTGCAGGAGACAGGCATTTAAATTCATTATCAATAATGACACCATTGTCATACCTTTCATAAGACTAGGACTGTCTTTGATCACCTTGTCCTGTATACTGTACTTATCTTTGATTTTTTCTTTTGATCTTTTGTTCCTTATTACCTGGAGTTTACCTGGAGAGAGTTTCGGGGGTCAATGCCCCCGCGGCCCGGTCTGTGACCAGGCCTCCTTATGACTCATGTTTTGATATCTTTTGATTAATTTGATTTTCATATGTTTATCACATTGTTTTTCTTTTTCATTTACAGTACATAGTCCTAGAAATAAGTGCACCTTTGCTGCAGTTTTGTAGAATGCATTCATACAGAACTTGGACATCATCCTTAAGTTTTATTTGCAATATTAGAAATGTCCAGTTAGCATATTTTTCTTTCTCATCACTAATACAAGTTATTTCCTGAGACTTCCACTACTACTACAGTATATGTACACTACTTCTTTTAAACTCTTTTACATGTGTATCATCCTTTAAAGTCACCAACATGCAGGACAAGTGAAATTCTATGTAAATGTGGTAAAAATCTGCTTATTAATATTTTTGATACTTGTAAAAAAAAAAACTGGATCAGCCAGGAGTGACAACTCAGCGGGCATCCAGCATTCTATGTAAAAAATAAAACCGAAGAAAATCAAAGGTGCTATCCGTTTGGTCCCAAGTATGTACAGTGGACCCCCGGTTAACGTTTTTTTTTTTCACTCCAGATATTTTCAGGGCTACTGACCAAATTTTTTTCCTAAGAAATATTATGAAGTAATTGTCCATTTCAGCCCCCCAAAACAACACTACAAAGCACTTACATAAATCCCTTAAAAATTGGTGCATTCGGAGGTAATCGTTAGCGGGGGTCCATTTTTTTCCCCATTGAAAAAGGGAAGGGCCCATGGGGTCTTTTTGTCACTAAAGAATGAAGAAAGAGGATATATGACACAATTTAAAAAAATACCTTGGGGCATAAAAAATTAAATTAAAAGTCTTGCAGAGATATGTTTTCAAGAACAAGGGACTGGGGGATTTTAATACCCCAAGAATCATAGGAACATAGAAAACCTTTTTGAACAAATTCATAATAAAACATAACAAAGGAGGAACATTAACAGGCTTGTTGGCCCATTATTGGGGATGCCCACATCATATCCAACCTCAAATAAAAGAACAAAAAAGAACCAGACTCTTGTCTTTGTGCCTCTTTTTTAATTCAAAAAGTTTTACATTGGCAACTATTATGTTCCTCCCCCTAAAATCTTTTATTAAGTGTCTTACTGATATGAATTTTTTCCCTCTTGATTTTTATCAAAAAGTATTTTAAAGGGGGCTAAAGAGGGATTGTTGGGGTGTTTTTGATATTTAGAGAGGATGGAGCAAAATAGGATGGTTAAATCTCAGGGGAGGGGAAAAAGGGGTCACCCGGGAAAAGGTGGGGGGGAAAAAAAGAGTTTTGTATTCAAGGGGAAGGACCGCGCAGATGTATAGATGCTAGGTAGGAGTGATGGAGGAATGTTTTTTGGGACTGAACTAGGGGAGTGGAACAGGGTAATATTTTGCGAAGGGATTCACAAAACTGGTTACCTCTTGATCCTGGAGGGGGGATGCCTGCCTACACTTTAAGTGGGTTTTGGGGATTTTGGTTTTTTGGAGTGACGTCTAAATGTTGTATCTGATGCCTTAAAGAACAGGATTGTGTGTGAAGATTGAAAAGGGTTTTGAATGATGGTAAAAGTGTTTCTTTTTTTTTGGGTCCCTTGCCCGAGGGAGACGTCTGAATGTTAAAAAAAATCTATTTTTCATGTCAATTTTCCCTTTTTAACTGCAGTGTAATAGTGTATTCTAAACCCAAAAACCAACCCTTTACATCAACAGGGGGCCCCTGCACATACCTATTTGGTCTAGTGATCACATTAAACTGAAACTGTATGCAGATTTCTGAAGGGCCCTAGACAATGGTTAGGATCATGTCCCATCGAAAAGGTAGTAGACTACCCCCCCCGGGTTTTGGGTCATTGTTGCACCAGGGGGGGCCCAAAGCTGCCACGCAGAGTTATTATGTCCTTGATTCCCACTGTGGGGTCATGACAAATTTGGGCCCCCCCCCTCCTAGGTAATTCAAAAAAAAAATTTTTTTGTAAATACCAAAAACCCCCAAAATAGGAGAGGGAATAAAAAGAGTTTGGGTCCATTTGAACCTTTTACAAAATCACTTTGGGTTTAAAATGCCGTTAGCTCCCTTCCTGTGTGAAGTTATTTGTGTATTTTTTTTTCCGTCATGGATTGTGTTTTTTTGTTCTTTACTTTTGTGAATTACTATTTAAATGATTTTAAGTAAAAATTTATTTACATTTTATTTTATTATAATACAGTAGTATCAAAAAAAATGCATTAAACCTGGAAAACTGCAGTATTAAATAAAACACATTTCTTCTAAGCTTTGTGACTGTGTTAGTAATATCAAATTTTTCAACCCCTTTGGTTTACTTTCCCAAAACTTTCGACCCTCTTTGTGTTTACATTAAAAACTTTCGACCCTCTTTTGTTTACTTTCCCAAACTTTCGCCCCCTTTTGTTTGCATTTAGCAAAAATTTAAATTGTAGCAAAAAAGAAGTTTTTCACCCAGTACAATAAAAATTAGTTCAAAAAAAATTTTTGTAACAGCCATTTTCTGCTACAAAAAACCATTTTCTGCTATTTATATTCTTTTTGCATTGTATTTCTAAAACACTAAATCATGTGGGTTTCCAGTGGAAGTGTGGGGGAGGTTTGATCCTTGTTAGCTGATAGTCCCCTTTAATTCTGATTTTCAAAGCTTTTAGTCACAGCTTAATGCTTCAAACAAGCCATGCCCCCCCCCCCCTTTTTTAATTTTTAGACTTGTGCTCCCCACCCCCAAAAACTTAAATCCATTGTGCTTCTTTGAATCCCTTTATAATATTGCCATGTTAACACTCAGTAGCTTGTCATATATCATAACTGCTGTTTCACTCTTTGATCAAATACATTTATAATACCTGCTGAATGTTTAAGCTTCTCCTTCAATACTTTTCCACACACTTCTAGTTAATTTTTGGGGATCCCTTAACTGCAGATTATATTTCTTTATCAGCTTATATTCCGTCATTCTTTATGCCAGACCCTCCGGTACCTTTTTTTTTTTTCACTGATATTACCCTGTTATAACCCAAATTTTATAATAACTTTTAGTCTTTTTTCTCTGCATAAAATTAAAACAATTAATTTTTCTCGACAAGACTTTCACTCCCCCAAATCCCCTTTCTGCAACTTTTAGTCCCTTTACACCATCTGTACTTTTTTGAATTAAGTTTTAAAATTTCAATTTAAAAAAATTTCCCAAAATTTCAAAACTTGCTACTTTCTTTACCCTCACCTATTTCTTTTCTTTTTGTGTTAATTAATTCATTTATTTTGGGAGAACGATCTCAGTCAAAAAAAAGCCCATCAGCAAGTTCATCTTGAAAAAAATAATTTTACAGTAAAAATAATGCTTGCATTAACATGATGAAGACTGTTAAAATATTTTTGAATTAAACCTTCATACCACCTCTGTCTTTCTTTTGCAGATCCCCCTTTTGTGAAAAACCCCGCACTGCAGTGTGTCCCCTAATTTAATAATAAACAACATACTTTGCTTACTCCCCACAAACAACGGGGGCCCAGGGCATTTGACTGGCTTTTTTATTATAAAAATTCCTCGGGAGAGAGATGGCAGCTCTTTCCCCGATCCATTTGAGTAATTTTGGATAATTGTATTTAAGTTACAACCTTGGAAAAATTTAGTTTTTTAAAAATTTCAAAAAAACTATTTAAAGTGGATTTCTTGAACTCTTTGTGATGACATCATTATCTTCCCTTATTAATTTTACTTGAATTATGAATCAATGCACAAAATTTTCATCAGTAATTAATGTTAATAAACAATTCAAGCATTTTGTTTTCACCCAAAAAAAATTGTTGCAGACATTCCTTTAAACATAAATTGGGGAAATCTGGTTAAAAAAATTAATTGAACAAAGTCGAAAAAAAACAATTCGGGAAGTGCCCAAAATGTAAAAAGTATTTTAGGAATTTAATGGGTTACTAAAGCTTTTTTTAAAGGTATTGCAATGTTTAAACAATGACAATTTGCAACTTTTTTTTTTTTTTAACTTTGTATAAATCAGGAAAGTTTTTATTTGGCAGGACCTGCAGAATGGTGGACGTTTGCCATTAAGCCGCAAGTTCTTCTGGGGGGTTGGGGCATGACCCTGGTCTTGCTATCTGGGGGGGGAGCAAAATGCCTGTCTTTCAAGGTGGGTACTGATAATGAGAGACAGTTTTTTAAAGTAGAACTTTAGTTTGCGAGTTTTAACTTGAATTTTTTTTTAAAGCAGTACCATCCCCACCAAGGGAAAGTGGCTGCCAAAAAATGAGAAAATTTATTCCGTCATTAAATTTAATCAAAATAAATGCTTGCCTGAAAATTTTCACTATCAGTTGTCGTCAAAAAAATGGTAACAAAGGAGCTTATCCTTCATTCCCTGTCATAAAAATGAGAAGAGGGGCTGGAAAAAATTTTGTATTGCGTACATAACCCATTCATTAATAGGGTTAAGAATTCATTTAATTATCATATCCCAAAAACATGCATAGGTTGTGTGGTGTGTTAGGATGAGTGGGACAAAATGTTTTTTGGGGGTTGACGTGCTTTTGGGGTGTGAGAGGGGAATATTTTTTAAGGGGGTTTAGGGAAACCATCCAGACTTGGGTCCTGGGGATGGGAAGACATGCCTATTTTTAACCCGGGGGTTTGGAAAATTTTGGTTTGGAGTGACTTCTGAAATGTCATTCGAGTGCCTCTACAAAGAAGTATTAGTTGTGATGGTGAAAGTTTGAAAGAAATGAAAGTTTGTTTCTTTTTTGTGTTCCCCTCCTTTGGGGGGAACACCCAGTGTTAAAAAAAAAAAATTAGTTGTAACAAAAATGGAAAACAGGTTTTGTTTTTTTGAGTATTGCTGACGTTTAGCATTAATAAAAAGCTCAAATCAGTTGTGCATTGTGCTTGATTTTTTACATTATAAACAGTGCCTGATAAAATCTTTTTAAGTAACTAAATTCTGATGTGCTAGATTAAGTGTGACAAGGGTGACTTCTGATTTGGATCAGTATAGTCAAGTTAAGAGAGAATACATCAAGCTATTGAATGAATGATGGTGACTGTTTTCCTTTTTGGGTCTTCCTACCTTGGTTGGAGACATCCAGTGGAGAAAAAATGACTTCAGTAGCAGATAGTGTTTTTTTTTTTGTTATTGTTGTCCAGTATTATGGGTGGTAGTATCTCTTGGGTGAATTTAGTTTTTGGTGAATTTAGTTATAGATACGAATGCCACATAGGCCCCCACTGTAATCTGTTTTATCTCCCTTTAGCTTATTCAGCAGTATTTTTTATATTTATGCCCATCATACATATATTTATGTTAAACTGCATTACAGACCATGACATTGTGTTGCAGATTTGGCAGTGTGGTGGAAGGATGCTTGATGCACCGTGCAGTAGGGTTGGCCATGTCTTCAGAGCTGCCCCTGAAGGTCGACCATCTGTCAAGGGTGACTTCCTTAGTAAGGTCAGTTAAAGGTCTTTTCTCTTAGCAAAATCTTCCATTGACTTTCTCATTAATATTACTTAATAATTAATGCGAGGGTCTTGGCAAGAGGCGTGGAGTTAAAAGATAAAGAATCACACACAGGGTGGGAGTTGTCACAGCTGCTCTTTGCTGATGACACTGTGCTCTTGGGAGATTCTGAAGAGAAGCTGCAGAGATTGGTGGATGAATTTGGTAGGGTGTGCAAAAGAAGAAAATTAAAGGTGAATACAGGAAAGAGTAAGGTTATGAGGATAACAAAAAGATTAGGTGATGAAAGATTGAATATCAGATTGGAGGGAGAGAGTATGGAGGAGGTGAACGTATTCAGATATTTGGGAGTGGACGTGTCAGCGGATGGGTCTATGAAAGATGAGGTGAATCATAGAATTGATGAGGGAAAAAAGAGTGAGTGGTGCACTTAGGAGTCTGTGGAGACAGAGAACTTTGTCCTTGGAGGCAAAGAGGGGAATGTATGAGAGTATAGTTTTAACCAACGCTCTTATATGGGTGTGAAGCATGGGTGATGAATGTTGCAGCGAGGAGAAGGCTGGAGGCAGTGGAGATGTCATGTCTGAGGGCAATGTGTGGTGTGAATATAATGCAGAGAATTTGTAGTTTGGAAGTTAGGAGGAGGTGCGGGATTACCAAAACTGTTGTCCAGAGGGCTGAGGAAGGGTTGTTGAGGTGGTTCGGACATGTAGAGAGAATGGAGCGAAACAGAATAACTTCAAGAGTGTATCAGTCTGTAGTGGAAGGAAGGCGGGGTAGGGGTCAGCCTAGGAAGGTTGGAGGGAGGGGGTAAAGGAGGTTTTGTGTGCGAGGGGCTTGGACTTCCAGCAGGCATGCGTGAGCGTGTTTTGATAGGAGTGAATGGAGACAAATGGTTTTTAATACTTGACGTGCTGTTGGAGTGTGAGCAAAGTAACATTTATGAAGGGATTCAGGGAAACCGGCAGGCCGGACTTGAGTCCTGGAGATGGGAAGTACAGTGCCTGCACTCTGAAGGAGGGGTGTTAATGTTGCAGTTTAAAAACTGTAGTGTAAAGCACCCTTCTGGCAAGACAGTGATGGAGTGAATGATGGTGAAAGTTTTTCTTTTTCGGGCCACCCTGCCTTGGTGGGAATCGGCCAGTGTGATAATAATAAAAAATAATCTGGAAAGTCAGATACAGTGCCACACTTACAAGTTCAATTAAGAGTAACACTATACTGTTTGATAGAGCAGTTTACTCTGTAAGATATACCATTTTTTCTTCCAGAATTATAAGCGTGTGGCAGAAGTATGGATGGATGAGTATGCTGAGGCTTTATACCGCAGAAACCACCATCTGAGGAAAGTGGACCCTGGGGATATCTCCAGAGAACTAGCGGTCTGTCTTCCAAATAACACAAACTGTTTTTTATATGATACAACAGATGAAATACAGTAGCGAGGAGGATATTCAGTTGGAGAATTTCATTATAATGTGAAAAAAGTTCTGTATTGTAATGAGCAACTATTGCCACAATTGAGCTTGATGTGCCAGAATTATAATATAGCCTAAGATGCTGTTTATAAAAACATTCTGAAGCATTCAATTTTTCTTATCAAAATACACTGATTTATAGAGTACGTATAACAAAAATAATAACCATTTTCCTCTCCCAGAGCTTAATAAATGTCATAAGTATTTTTTTGCATTGTGTACAGTATCGTTGGTGTTTTTCACATATTAAAGGTCCTTATCAGGTGAACAATAAAACTTTGTAATTAATTTTAGGCTCATGCATTAAGATTTTGTGTTTTTATCTGCAAACAGTTTTAAGGACTGCAAGCTTTAATGTAAAAAGGCCTAAATTTCCTCAGATACGTAAACGTCTTAAATGCAAAAGCTTTAAGTGGTACTTGGAGAATGTGGCTCCTGACTTGTTGGAAAAATACCCACCAGTTGAGCCACCAGACTATGCTAATGGAACAGTAAGTGTCACCTCAAGCTTTAAGTAAGATATTAAATTTTTTAACATCATCAGTAATCTCCTGTAATTATATCTTTCTGTTTTTTACAATATGCAATTATGTACATATGGTACGTTGTCTAACCATTGGTCAAAAATTATAGCAGGTGCTCATCTCTATAGTGTTTATGTAAAACCATTTAAAATATTCATGAATTTGATATTATTGTGCATCCATAATAAAAGAGCTTTGCTCATTCTTTGAATTTAGTCTAAATAGCTGAAAAAATAAATTTAGTTAGATACATGTATAAACCAAGATCTCTATGGGAAAGTGGAGAAGAATCCTTCCTCCATAAGCCTTGCATATCGTAAGAGATGACCATAATGCCAGGCAAAGGGCTGGTAACCCCTTCTGTATAAATTACTAAATGTAAAAAGAAGAAAAACTTTTTTTGGGGGTCACTCTACCTCAGAGGGAGACATCTGACATATTAACCCTTAAACTGTCCAAACAGATTTACGTTCACATGCGTAGTGCTCCAACAGTAGATCTACGTTTTTTTTTACATATTTTCAAATATAACAAAAAAAAACGTAGATCAAAGTTTTTTACACGTTTTCAAATGTAAAAAAAAAAAAAATCTACATTTTTTTTACATACTTTCAAATGTTGAAAAAACGTAGATCTACGTTTGGACATTTTAAGGGTTAAAAAAAAAAAAAAAAAAAAAGCCAAGATAACATAAATGTGTGTGTGTATTCACCTGGTTACAGGTGTCGAGTCTTAGCTCCTGGCCTTGCCTTTTAACTTGCTGCTTGCTAGATTTACTCCCTCCAAGCTTTGTGGGCCCTGGCACACCTATTCTTAAAACTATGTATGGAGCCTGGCTTCACTACCTCATCATCAAAATTGTTCCACTTTTTAACCATCCGTTTTCTGAACAAATTCCTCCTTATATCCCTGTGACTTTTCCATGACTTTAAAACTTCCAACTGTGCCCTAGTGTACCTGTTCCCTTCCTCTTGCTGCCTACTCTTATCAAGTTTTTCTTGAGTATTTTGTATGGCTGTCATATCTTACCTTGTTTTTCTATCCTCCAGTATTGTCATGTCATTTCCTGTAGTCTCTCTTCATAGATCCTTCCCTTTAACTCTATTAATAATCTCACTACAAACCTGTGAATTTTCTCCAGTTTCTTCAATGCTTTATCAGGGTATAGGTTCCATACTAGTGCTAATACTGTACTTGGGCCTGACATATGTTGTATAGAGAATCATGAATGACTCTTTGTTGAGGATCCTGAAAACTGATCATAGATTCATCAAAGAAACATAAACTGCAGAGGTTATTAAATTGAATAACCTCTGCAGTTTATGTTCCTTTGACTGTTATGTTCCTTTGTGTACTGTTTAAGGCACTTCTTATCAAGTTGACTGCCTGCTTTATTATTAAGTAATTTTATTATTGGGTCTGCTGTATTGGAGGTCTTTGTTTTTCTATCCATCCTCCTTAATCAAGTGCCTATCTGCAATAATATAAAGTAAAACAATACAATACTCTAGTGATACCAATGCATTTTACAGATTAAGAGTGTGGCATCTCCAACATTATGTTTGGACAATGGATCAAGAGAATATGGCAGCATCATCATGTATGGCTGCCATGGTGGAGATAGTCAGGTGAGACACAATATCCCCAACGTCTTATAGCGTCCTTGCAGTCCTTCTTCTTTGTCAGTGACAAGAAAAACACTAAAATGATTGACTGCTACTAGTAAAGCTTCCATCAGAATATGTTTATTCAGCCATGCTTCATGAAGCACATATTTTGCATATGGTTTTCAATGACTTGAGAGACTCAATCTGTCTCCCTCACTGCCAGAAATTACACCCATTTATGCAATTTGGTTATGGGCAGTTTACTGCTGCATGCATAAATTTAAAATAATTCATGTTAAATTAAAGCAGCCTAATCTTACTTGTAATAACTTAGTATTTAATTTTATAGGTTGTTTTAGACGCATTCACACACCGATACACATAAACAAACTTTTATTTTTATTTCTTATCCAGATTTGGGTGTCCTCAATAACTGTTAATGAAAAACTCTCGAAGATGTCAACTTGGATGACAACCAACAACTTCTAATCTTTCAGTACCAAAACTTTTACTAATTCTCATTGCTTTGGTCTTGTCTGCATTCACTTTCAACTCCTTGTGGCTCAATTGGTAGCTGTCTCACTCATACTGAGGGACTGGGGTTGTGATCCCCTGCAAGAGTGAAAATGCTGGGCATGTTTCCTTACATCTTCTCTCCTTATTCATCTAGAAGTAAGTAGGTACCTGGATGTTAGGCAACTAGAGTGGGTTGCATCCTGGGGGAGAGTATTACAGCACCCAAGTGAAAATAAGCCAGATGACTTATTTCCACTGACATTATTGGTTATCCTGGGTTACTAACACTAGGGTGATAATCCAAACAGTATCTTCTTCTACAGGTTTTTCCAGAATTTCTGAGTAGCTCTGTAATCAGCAAACAGGAGCCATGACAATTCTCACTTTATATATTTGTTATCAACAGTATTAAGATTACACCATTCCCGAACATTAGTTTTGCTGTTCTTACAACCCTGTCTATAAACACATAATCAGCCAGAATTACTTCACACAAGCCATTTATCTTCTTTCTTACACCCCTTTTCCTGTGCCTCAATACTTATAAAAATTCTATAACTTTCATTAACATACTGCCTATTCATTATATTTGCAACACTTGCCCATTGCTATCTGATTCACCCTTTCATACTTTGTTTACTTTTTTATTATATAAATGCAACAAGCAACTCCTTATTCTTATTGAGGTATGCTCACTTGTATGTTTCATTACAAGCCTTTTTTTTTTTTAACTCATCTAATTTCAATCTTGCTATGTTATACATGTTATGTACCTTTCAGAAAATGTTATTCAACCATTTTTTAGTAAACTTATTATAGTCCAGTTAGTTACTATAAACTTCTGTCTTACCTAAATTCATTCTTCTGCTTTCTCATTACAGTACTTCTCATTGAGCTGGCATAAGACAATCAAGGTACAGAATGAGCAATTCTGTTGGATGGTGCCCCATGCCTTGGGTAATGCACCATCCACTTACAACTGCGAGAACACACAGCACGTACCTTCCCAGACCTGGAGATATGACCCTGTAAGTCTGAAATAATGACCCTATCTCAATCACAAAAACAAAAGTTTCTATAATAATTTCTTTGTGTTAATACTAAGAGCTGCTAATAGACTTTTATAATTTTAATCTATGAACTATAGCTGCAGAATTTCAGTATTTAATATTAATACACATACCTTATTGCTGCACTTTAATTAAACATCAATGACATTGCCTTTGTATTGCTAGACCACCATTTATTAACAAGCACCAACTTCTGGAGCTTTGAAATAATTATCCCAACTCAGTTCCTCTTTATATACAGGAGACCCAACAGATCGAATCTGAAAGCCACAGATGGTGTGTGGAAGCTGTAGTTATATCCAACGCAGTGCAGATGGCAGAATGTGACAACACCAAGCGTGAACAGAAGTGGATCTTTAACTTCATCAATACCAAGCTTATCCAGGACCAGTTTTTCCCCTTTCCTAGGACTAGGGAAGCCCTTTGAAGAGATTAGAGAGAGAGAGAGATAAGTGGGGCAAAGTGATAAAGATGGGAAAGAATAGGAAATGATACAAAGATGGAAGTTTCAGCTGATGTATTGTTATTCTAAATACAGTATTATATATAATTTAAACAGCAGTTATTATTGCAGAGTTTATATAATTATTTATACTGGAATATATTGTTTATTTATTATTTACAGTATCATCATATATATACATATAAACATCTCTTAATAATAATGCTTTATCTGTAAAGTGTTAATTGATATATTTCAAGTAATAAGTGCATCACTTATTCTCAACTATTCCCATGATGTTCATGCAGACTTAAAATTTCACAAGAAATGTTTATTCCTATTTCATTTGTAATAAAAATACACCAAAATAAGTTGCTTACATGAAAAGTACCAGAGTTGGCATTCATTGTTATTTCTGGTACAAAATTATTATTAATATGTTATTTTTTTTATTTATTAACACATTGGCCATTTCCCACGAAGGCAGGGTGGCCCGAAAAAGAAAAACTTTCATCATCATTCACTCCATCACTGTCTTGCCAGAGGCATGCTTACACTATAGTTTTAAAGCTGCAACATTAACACCCCTCCTTCAAACTGCCAGCACTGTACTTCCCATCTCCAGGAAACAAGTCTGGCCTGTCAGTTTCCCTGAATCCCTTCATAAATGTTACCTTGCTTATACTCCGACAGCATGTCAAGTCCTGAAAACCACTTGTTTCCATTTGCTCCTATCTAACATGCTCACGCACACTTGCTGGAAGTCCAAGCCCCTCTCACACAAAACCTCCTGTATCCCCTCCCTCCAACCTTTCCTAGGCCAACCTCTACCCCACCCTCCCTCCTCTACAGATTTATGCACTCTCGAAGTCATTCTGTTTTGTTCCATCCTCTCTACACGTCCAAACCATCTCAGTAACACCTCCTCAGCCCTCTGGATAATAGTTTTGGTAATCTCGCACCTCTTCCTAATCTCCAAACCTCTTTATTTAATTTTGTTTTATCACTGATATAATGAATGCACTTATACCTAAGTTATTAACTAGTCACTAGGGACATGAATTACTCTCTTATCTGTGACCCTTCTGGGTTTAGTGCTTAGTTATGTTTATTATAATAATAACTCCCTTATCTGTAAGTTGCAGAAATAACCAGAATGATTATTTTTATATACATGGGAGCACTAAACCTATAGGGGTCATACAACACCTGGGGAATCAGAGGTAATCAGATTCTATCCAAGGAAGGGGAAGTCATGTTCTGTTCCTTGGATCAAGAGCATCTCACCTGCATCAAGGGACCTCCCTTGATGGCTATAACAAGAATTGAAATTAAAACCTTATTCTTTTTACATTTTTACTTATTTATTAGTGGAACTGTATGTGTGAGCCTCCATACATCACATTACTGTATCTTCTTCTTTCAATGCACCAGCTGTATCCCACTGAGGTGGGGTGGCCCAAAAGGAAAAACGAAAGTTTCTCCTTTTAAATTTAGTACTATATACAGGAGAAGGGGTTACTAGCTCCTTGTTCCCGGCATTTTAGTCGCTTCTTACGACACACATGGCTTATGGAGGAAGAATTCTATTCAACTTCCCCATGGAGTACATTACTGTATTTTTTTTTTAACAAGTCGGCCATCTCCCACCGAGGCAGGGTGACCCAAAAAGAAAGAAAATCCCCAAAAAGAAAACACTTTCATCATCATTCAACACTTTCACCTCACTCACACATAAGATAAGATAAGATAAGATTTCGTTCGGATTTTTAACCCCGGAGGGTTAGCCACCCAGGATAACCCAAGAAAGTCAGTTCGTCATCGAGGACTGTCTAACTTATTTCCATTGGGGTCCTTAATCTTGTCCCCCAGGATGCGACCCACACCAGTCGACTAACACCCAGGTACCTATTTGCTGCTAGGTGAACAGGACAATAGGTGTAAGGAAACGTGTCGGAATTTCCACCCGCCGGGAATCGAACCCGGGCCCTCCATGTGTGAAGCGGGAGCTTTAGCCACCAGACCACCGGGCCACACACAGTTTTTGCAGAGGTGCTCAGAAACACAACAGTTTAGAAGCATATACATATGAAGATACATGACATATCCCTCCAAACTGCTATATCTATGCTAAATCATACAATGAAATAATCATTTTTACTATAATTTATATTTCCGTTATTTTTATTCACTCACCAAGGTTATTATATACTGCAGAAATAATTAGCAATGGTGCCTTCAGTGCTTAGTTTTTCAATATATTGTAGATGAAAATAGGGTGTTTTCTTTAGCACTGTAAGAGAAATATGATACTATATATGTGGGTGAGAGACAGCCATGACTTATCACTCACAAAATTCAGGAGTACAGTCAACATAATAGAGAGATAATTTAGTAATTGTAAAGGAACCAAATCCTTTCAAACATGAGTTGCCATTGTATCCCTAATTTCAAGAAGAAACTTGACAAATTCCTTCCAACAATGCTTGGTCAGACAGGCTGTGATATCTACGTCTAGCTGCATGCAGCCAGCATTAACAACCTGACTGACCAAGCCATCAACCAGGAGACCTGGTCTAAGACTGGACCTCTTAGGCAGTATTCTTAGAGCAGGTGTAGTATGAAGTATCTCCAATTATTTCCAGTAAATATACATAGTTTGCTGGAAATAATGGATTTGCAGTACTGCTTACATGCAATCAATTTACAGTAGTGTAGTATTGCAATAGGTATTCTTTGTGTACTGTATCATGTCAGACTATTTGCCACATTTTCCAATAAAGTCTTGACATGTATTATTCTGACCTACATCCCTCTATTGTCCAGGGTGGAACATATAATATACATAATATAGGGATGAATATATTTTTTCAGTCTGTTTCAGTTAAATATTTCTTAAAGCGCATCTTTCATTACCAACCCAAAACATAAATTGAGTCTTTCCTGGTCAATGCCTAACCATATCTGCAATTGTTTTGTTAATGGAATTCCTGAAGTCATTTGCATGAGAACCTTGGTAATGTATTTTTCTTGTTTTTGATAACCAAAATGCCTATGTAATGTGTCTAACTTATAGGACCAGGTTATATCAGTGTCGGTGAACCACAGCAGTCACATCATTCCAAATGTAACTTCTTGATAATAATGAATTTATAACAAGCTGTGAAATGTAAGTATTTTGCTTGGGTTCTCATAATTGGAAACAGTGAAGCTATGTGCTGTACATAGTTTATTAAATTGTTTATTCAGTGACCTTCCCAAGTGAGTGATTAGAATGTATGAACTGTGAAATGAGCTTTTGTTATGTACTATAACTTGTGTTGTAAATGTTACTGGTGTGTTTTCATTGAGCCATTAAAGTTGTTACTGTTTTTAGCTGTGTTTGCTTAAGCCTTCCATCTCTTCATTTAGAGACTGCATCAGGATTTTCAGTAATGTTCTGTGAACTATTTTGATAAAACTCCAGTGTTACCATGGGAATTTTCTATGATAAAATTAAGCTTCAATGGGGAACAGGCTGCCAGTCTCCCCTCCCATATATTACAGGCTGCCAAAATCCCCCCTCTGTGACACTACAGGGTGCCAATCTTCCCCCCCCCTCACATTCTACACTGCTAAAATCTCCACTTCCTCATACTACAGGCTCCCAGTCTTCCCTCCCTTACACTTCAGGCTCCTCTAAGTCTTCCCTTTCTCACACTCCAAGCTGTCAATCTCCCCTCATTCACAGACTGCCAGTCTCTCTTCCCTCACTACAGGCTTCTTTCTGGTCTCTCCACACACTTGTCTCCCCTCCCTCACTATAGACTCCTGTCTTCCCTCTTTCATACTCCATACATCTCACATTTCTATCCAGGCGCTGTATAATCCTATGGGTTTAGCTTTTCCCCCTTGATTATTATAATAATCACATTTCTATCTAGGCTGCCAGTGTCCCCTTTCTCATGTTACTGCTAAATTCTTTCAAATTATATATACCCTCCCTCCCTTATACTACTGAAAAAAGTTTTGCAAGATGGAATCTGCTGCAGGACTTTTCATAATAAACGAATAAGTGAACAATGTACTAATTCAGTGATATGTCATAAGCAGGTCATTTATATATATATATATATATATATATTGGTGGAATGATGAAATAAAGGGTGTGATAAAAGAGAAAAAGTTAGCTTATGAGAGGTTTTTACCAAGCAGAAGTGTTATAAGAAGAGCAGAGGCACTGTCAAGAAATTTTAATGAAAATAAGAAAAAATTTTGGAGTTAAACAAGTTAAGAAAGCCTAGGAAACGTATGGATTTGTCAGTTAAAAACAGAGTAGGGGAGTTAGTAGATGGGGAGAGGGAGGTATTAGGTAGATGGCGAGAATATTTTGAGGAAATTTTAAATGTTGAGGAAGAAAGAGAGGCGGTAATTTCATGCACTGGTCAGGGAGGTACACCATCTTTTAGGAGTGAAGAAGAGCAGAATGTAAGTGTGGGGGAGGTACGTGAGGCATTACGTAGAATGAAAGGGGGTAAAGCAGCTGGAACTGATGGGATCATGACAGAAATGTTAAAAGCAGGGGGCGATATAGTGTTGGAGTGGTTGGTACTTTTGTTTAATAAATGTATGAAAGAGGGGAAGGTACATAGGGATTGGCGGAAAGCATGTATAGTCCCTTTATATAAAGGGAAGGGGACAAAAGAGATTGTAAAAATTATAGAGGAATAAGTTTATTGAGTATACCAGGAAAAGCGTATGGTAGGATTATAATTGAAAGAATTAGAGGTAAGACAGAATGTAGGATTGTGGATGAGCAAGGAAGTTTCAGAGTGGGTAGGGGACGTGTAGATCAAGTGTTTACATTGAAGCTGGAGGCGGGAGGCAGTGGAGATGTCATGTCTGAGGGCAATGTGTGGTGTGAATATAATGCAGAGAATTTGTAGTTTGGAAGTTAGGAGGAGGTGCGGGATTACCAAAACTGTTGTCCAGAGGGCTGAGGAAGGGTTGTTGAGGTGGTTCGGACATGTAGAGAGAATGGAGAAAAAACAGAGTGACTTCAAGAGTGTATCAGTCTGTAGTGGAAGGAAGGCAGGGTAGGGGTTGGCCTAGGAAAGGCTGGAGGGAGGGGGTAAAGGAGGTTTTGTGTGCGAGGGGCTTGGACTTCCAGCAGGCATGCGTGAGCGTGTTTGATAGGAGTGAATGGAGACAAATGGTTTTTAATACTTGACATGCTGTTGGAGTGTGAGCAAAGTAACATTTATGAAGGGGTTCAGGGAAACCGGAAGGCCGGACTTGAGTCCTAGAGATGGGAAGTACAGTGTCTGCACTCTGAAGGAGGGGTGTTAATGTTGCAGTTTAAAAACTGTAGTGTAAAGCACCCTTCTGGCAAGACAGTGATGGAGTGAATGATGGTGGAAGTTTTTCTTTTTCGGGCCAACCTGCCTTGGTGGGAATCGGCCAGTGTGATAATAAAAAAAAAATATTTAGATAAAGGTAGGGAAGTTTTTATTGCATTTATGGATTTAGAAAAGGCATATGATAGAGTGGATAGGGGAGCAATGTGGATGTTGCAAGTATATGGAATAGGTGGTAAGTTACTAAATGCTGTAAAGAGTTTTTACGAGGATAGTGAGGCTCAGGTTAGGGTGTGTAGAAGAGAGGGAGACTACTTCCCGGGAAAAGTAGGTCTTAGACAGGGATGTGTAATGTCACCATGGTTGTTTAATATATTTGTAGATGGGGTTGTAAAAGAAGTAAGTAAATGCTAGGGTGTTCGGGAGAGGGGTGGGATTAAATTATGGGGAATCAAATTCAAAATGGGAATTGACACAGTTACTTTTTGCTGATGATACTGTGCTTATGGGAGATTCTAAAGAAAAATTGCAAAGGTTAGTGGATGAGTTTGGGAGTGTGTGTAAAGGTAGAAAGTTGAAAGTGAACATAGAAAAGAGTAAGGTGATGAGGGTATCAAATGATTTAGATAAAGAAAAATTGGATATCAAATTGGGGAGGAGGAGTATGGAAGAAGTGAATGTTTTCAGATACTTAGGAGTTGACGTGTCGGCGGATGGATTTATGAAGGATGAGGTTAATCATAGAATTGATGAGGGAAAAAAGGTGAGTGGTGCGTTGAGGTATATGTGGAGTCAAAAAACGTTATCTATGGAGGCAAAGAAGGGAATGTATGAAAGTATAGTAGTACCAACACTCTTATATGGATGTGAAGCTTGGGTGGTAAATGCAGCAGCGAGGAGACGGTTGGAGGCAGTGGAGATGTCCTGTCTAAGGGCAATGTGTGGTGTAAATATTATGCAGAAAATTCGGAGTGTGGAAATTAGGAAAAGGTGTGGAGTTAATAAAAGTATTAGTCAGAGGGCAGAAGAGGGGTTGTTGAGGTGGTTTGGTCATTTAGAGAGAATGGATCAAAGTAGAATGACATGGAAAGCATATAAATCTATAGGGGAAGGAAGGCGGGGTAGGGGTCGTCCTCGAAAGGGTTGGAGAGAGGGGGTAAAGGAGGTTTTGTGGGCGAGGGGCTTGGACTTCCAGCAAGCGTGCATGAGCGTGTTAGATAGGAGTGAATGGAGACGAATGGCACTTGGAACCTGACGATCTGTTGGAGTGTGAGCAGGGTAATATTTAGTGAAGGGATTCAGGGAAACGGTTATTTTCATATAGTCGGACTTGAGTCCTGGAAATGGAAGTACAATGCCTGCACTTTAAAGGAGGGGTTTGGGATATTGGCAGTTTGGAGGGATATGTTGTGTATCTTTATATGTGTATGCTTCTAAACTGTTGTATTCTGAGCACCTCTGCAAAAACAGTGATAATGTGTGAGTGTGGTGAAAGTGTTGAATGATGATGAAAGTATTTTCTTTTTGGGGATTTTCTTTCTTTTTTGGGTCACCCTGCCTCGGTGGGAGACGACCGACTTGTTGAAAAAAAAAATATATATATATATACACACACACATATATATATATGTATATATATATATATATATATATATATATATATATATATATATATATATATATATATATATATATATATAATTATTATGTAATGAATGATTAACGGACCCTTCCGTGTCGGGGACACTTTGACCTGTCTCCTCAGTGAAGATTTGAGGACGAACGCGCTAACAGCGATTCATAACTCGGGTTGTTGAGCTGATGGTGACTTTCCCGCGCTCGCATTTCATTGGTGGAAACTCTGTAGACACACCCATCGTGACAGCCAATAAGAGAAAGCGTACTTTAGCACTGCAAGTCCTCACTAGGCTTGTAAGACGGTCGGTGATTTGTTATGTAAATGTAATCAAAAGGTTCAGCCAATGAGAGGTCGGTATCACTGATGACGTCACCCAGTATTCAGTGCAGCAACCCATCTTATGAGATGTTGTTCCAGCTCAGTTCCATCGCACCAAATATGCATTTCATTCACATCAGAGAATTTGAATGAATTTTTTTTTTTAATAATTCAGTTAGTTGTTTGTTTTTCTCTCTGTTTTTATATACATTTTCCGAAGAAAATAAATAAAACGTTCGCCATTAAAGTATATTTATTTATTTAGCAATAAACAGTAAGTGTAGACCAGGCAACGTACAATAATAATACTAGAAGATATTCTATCCAATAAAGCGCAGGGAAAATCAATACCTGACCTGTTACTTCACATGACATGGATTTGTGTAACTCATTAAGTCACTGTGAGATGTTTATTTGCTGTAGAGATGATAAAGTGAAGACAGCAAGAATACTGAGACATCAGGATTAGAAATATTGGTGGGAGTCCCACAAGGCTCAGTACTGGCACTGTTATTGTTCCTTGTACTTTATATGTAAAGTGTAAATATTGAAGACATACTGGGTTACTATCAAAACAACTAAAACATGTTAAGGAAGGAAACATCAAACTATACAAGATGCAAAACAATGACAGGGGGAGTTGAATAGCTCTAGGCCTTTCGTTTTGCAATCAACAGATCATCAGGTGCTTGCAATATTGCGGAAATGAGTAGGAAGTCCAAGCAGATTAGTTCAGGGGAACTTTATAGCTTGAATTACAGTACTTATCAGTACTCTATACCATTATTATTATAATGGGTATGAAATATTTACTGATGATTCAAAATAAGTAAATAAATTGAGCTGTAAATAATAGTCTAAGAAATATTCATAATTTATTAAAAGTCGCAGGTAAAAAGCTCATCGACTGCACACGAGTCACTAAGGTTTTATTTAATTCACCTGTCCTCTATTAATCAGCAATAAATGCTGCATATTAATTCTTAAAATGGAGATAAAAGCAAACTGTCAAGTATATATAATCGTTCATGTGTACGAGTACAAAAAAAGGTTATAACTATGACCATAATTTGTAAAAGAGTGGACCGGTAAGCCAGCGGAAGTCCTCGCTCAGATGACCAAAAGCTCCAATGGCGGGTCATTATACCTAACCTACGAGTACATTATATACAAACATATATCTGTGTACATAAAGTATACAATGATGAGTACATGCACATTACATGGCTAGAAGAAACTGTAGACTTGAAAAGACTGTAGGGCTGGTTCTGCAATTCTTCACACAAGTTCAACCTGAATAAGCTTAAAGTAATGGTGATGTGAGCTCAGACAAGATCAGAAGACAATGTATGTCATCTTGAAGGGAAAAGAATTCTAGGTATCTAAGACGATTCTTATTAATCTGCTTCTCGAGTTGCATGGAAATGTGACATAACTAGAGAATGTGCAGTTGAGAACCGCTGTAGATGTTGAAGTCAAGGGATACAACAGTTTGGTCAAGAAACCAGGAATCAAATGATACCAGGGCACAGTGGTTTGGAGAGCAGACAAGGTCCTGACATCCAAGGCAACATATTTGTGAGATGATAAAGAGGAAGCCTTGTTGTGGAGCTCAAGGTGACTGAGTGACTCAGTCTAATATATTTTATTGCTCACGATACCCAAGTGGTCGCGTGCGAACGAAATCTGGTTTAGAGTGATGTCAAGTGTTTTTATGACTAGTCCTGTGTTTTTAAACACGGGATTAGTCATAGAAATATACTATTATTCACATAATAAACTAGGATTTACTAAGTCAGGGACTTCATAAGTAAATAGTCTATATCACTGCGTAGAACTTGGTAGCTTAATAGTTTCACTAAACTATATTATCACATATTAGAATGTTTATACATCTTTCATTTTAAAATAATAAATAATATACAGCATCCTCAACATAAACTTTTCTGTCACACTGACGAGAGCCACCACTGTATATCTTCATCTGCACGACGCCCAGCTCCTGAAGAAACAAGAAAATAGATAAATCGAAATAAATGCCATAACACTCTAATAGAGTTATCATAATTAAATAGAAAATTTCAAGCATATTCATGACACATCAATTTCATTCTCATGGAACATCGAAGGAAGTTAGCAAGCAATAACAGGTGTCTTATATATCAGGACTGCACTTGACTCGTGGACCTGTCTTGGTCAAATGACAGCCATAGTCCACGTCTTCTCAAGACCGAAACTCAAACAACCTACAATTTTTTTACACATTTTATCATTAATGAATCTGTCCAGCTTATAAAAAGTCCTGGACTTTTGTTCAGATTCTATTTAAAATTAATTGTATTGTTTCATTTCACCACGGACTTACACTGTTTAAAGATATCACGTATTTTGTTGAAATAGATACTAGGAGACTTTTTGAATGCTCTCTGTAACTTTTCCTAAACTATGGACTTTCATTGCTTTTGTTTGACTAGTTAAGTTACACCGAAAATCCATCTTCCATGTAAAAATGAATGTCTTGCTTAAATATTTACCCACTGGATGAATAAAATTTATAAATGGTGTGGTGCGGGTATTGTGAGGTATGTGATGGGTGGTATGATGAGATGATGGGTATGTGATGGATGGTATAATGAGATGATGGGTATGTGATGGGTGGTATGATGAGATGATGGGTTTGTGATGAGTGGTATGATGAGATGATGGGTTTGTGATGGGTGGTATGATGCGATGATGGGTCTGTGATGGGTGGTATGATGCGATGAGGGGCATGTGACTGGTAGTATGGTGAGTTGAGAAGTATGTGATGAGTGGTATAATGAGAGGTATGATATGAGTGATATGGTGAGTTGGGAGGTATGATAAGGAGGGTGGTAGGAAGAGGCAGAACAGTAACAAAGTATAACAATAATTACGTGAGAATGGTAGTGGGGAAGAGACGTAACTTGGGAGACATGATGCCACTGTTGTATGTGGTAATGTCAGGACCCAGGTACGTAGCTTCGTCATGAGTCAGGTGTTCGGTATGAAGATGATGCTGCAGCTTCTCTGCAAGATCACTAATGCAGATTTATTGCTTGTTTATACCAATGGTACTGCAATATCTCGAGCCTCAAACTAAATAAGTAGAATAAGCTGGGATTGTTAATGGGGTTTAAAGCTCTATCGACTACACTTGGGTCATTAATAGGTTAGGTTAGGTTAGGTTACCTGGAGTTTACCTGGAGAGAGTACCGGGGGTCAACGCCCCCGCGGCCCGGTCTGTGACCAGGCCTCCTGGTAGATCAGAGCCTGATCAACCAGGCTGTTACTGCTGGCTGCACGCAAACCACGTACGAGCCACAGCCCGGCTGGTCAGGAACCGACTTTAGGTGCTTGTCCAGTGCCAGCTTGAAGACTGCCAGGGGTCTGTTGGTAATCCCCCTTATGTATGCTGAGAGGCAGTTGAACAGTCTCGGGCCCCTGACACTTATTGCATGGTCTCTTAACGTGCTAGTGACACCCCTGCTTTTCATTGGGGGGATGTTGTATCGTCTGCCAAGTCTTTTGCTTTCGTAGTGAGTGATTTTCGTGTGCAAGTTCGGTACTAGTCCCTCTAGGATTTTCCAGGTGTATATAATCATGTATCTCTCCCGCCTGCGTTCCGGGGAATACAGGTTCAGGAACCTCAAGCGCGCCCAGTAATTGAGGTGTTTTATCTCCATTATGCGCGCCGTGAAGGTTCTCTGTACATTTTCTAGGTCAGCAATTTCACCTGCCTTGAAAGGTGCTGTTAGTGTGCAGCAATATTCCAGCCTAGATAGAACAAGTGACTTGAAGAGTGTCATCATGGGCTTGGCCACCCTAGTTTTGAAGGTTCTCATTATCCATCCTGTCATTTTTCTAGCAGATGCGATTGATACAATGTTATGGTCCTTGAAGGTGAGATCCTCCGACATGATCACTCCCAGGTCTTTGACGTTGGTGTTTCGCTCTATTTTGTGGCCAGAATTTATTTTGTACTCCGATGAAGATTTAATTTCCTCGTGTTTACCATATCTGAGTAATTGAAATTTCTCATCGTTGAACTTCATATTGTTTTCTGCAGCCCACTGAAAGATTTGGCTCATGTCCGCCTGGAGCCTTGCAGTGTTTGCAATGGAAGACACTGTCATGCAGATTCGGGTGTCATCTGCAAAGGAAGACACGGTGCTGTGGCTGACATCCTTGTCTATGTCGGATATGAGGATGAGGAACAAGATGGGAGCGAGTACTGTGCCTTGTGGAACAGAGCTTTTCACCGTAGCTGCCTCGGACTTTACTCTGTTGATGACTACTCTCTGTGTTCTGTTAGTGAGGAAATTATAGATCCATCGACCGACTTTTCCTGTTATTCCTTTAGCACGCATTTTGTGCGCTATTACGCCATGGTCACACTTGTCGAAGGCTTTTGCAAAGTCTGTATATATTACATCTGCATTCTTTTTGTCTTCTAGTGCATCTAGGACCTTGTCGTAGTGATCCAATAGTTGAGACAGACAGGAGCGACCTGTTCTAAACCCATGTTACCCTGGGTTGTGTAACTGATGGGTTTCTAGATGGGTGATGATCTTGCTTCTTAGGACCCTTTCAAAGATTTTTATGAAATGTGATGTTAGTGCTATCGGTCTGTAGTTCTTTGCTGTTGCTTTACTGCCCCCTTCGTGGAGTGGGGCTATGTCTGTTGTTTTTAGTAACTGTGGGACGACCCCCGTGTCCATGCTCCCTCTCCATAGGACGGAAAAAGCTCGTGATAGGGGCTTCTTGCAGTTCTTGATGAACACGGAGTTCCATGAGTCTGGCCCTGGGGCAGAGTGCATGGGCATGTCATTTATCGCCTGTTCGAAGTCATTTGGCGTCAGGATAACATCGGATAGGCTTGTGTTAACCAAATTCTGTAGCTCTCTCATAAAAAATTAATTTTGATCTTCGACTCTCAGTCTGGTTAGCGGCTTGCTAAAAACTGAGTCATATTGGGACTTGAGTAGCTCACTCATTTCCTTGCTGTCATCTGTGTAGGACCCATCTTGTTTAAGTAGGGGCCCAATACTGGACGTTGTTCTTGACTTTGATTTGGCATAGGAGAAGAAATACTTTGGGTTTCTTTCGATTTCATTTATGGCTTTTATTTCTTCCCGCGATTCCTGACTCCTATAAGATTCCTTTAGCTTAAGTTCGATGCTTGCTATTTCTCTGACCAGTGTCTCCCTACGCATTTCAGATATATTGACCTCCTTTAGCCGCTCTGTCATTCTTTTCCGTCGCCTGTAAAGGGAGCGCCTGTCTCTTTCTATTTTATATCTACTCCTCCTTTTTCTTAGAGGAATAAGCCTTGTGCATACATCGAGTGCCACCAAGTTAATCTGTTCTAGGCATAAGTTGGGGTCTGTGTTGCTTAGTATATCTTCCCAGCTTATATCAGTTAGGATTTGGTTTACTTGGTCCCACTTTATGTTTTTGTTATTGAAGTTGAATTTGGTGAATGCTCCCTCGTGACTAATCTCATTATGTCGGTCTGCAACAATATTATTTGCTATATTCCTCCATTTTAGGTGCCTTAAGTTGAAATCCCCCAGGAGCAAGATGTTGGGTGCAGGAGCTGGAAGATTTTCCAGACAGTGGTCAATTTTTAACAGCTGTTCCTGGAATTGCTGGGATGTTGCATCCGGAGGCTTGTAGACTACCACAATGACTAGGTTTTGGTTCTCGACCTTTACTGCTAAAACTTCCACTACATCATTTGAGGCATTTATTCTGTGCAAACAAGTGACTCTGCAATGTACAGGCCAACCCACCCCCTTTTGCCTGTTCACTCTGTCACATCTGTATAGGTTGTAACCTGGGATCCATATTTCGTTGTCCAAGTGATCCTTTATGTGGGTCTCAGTGAAAGCCGCGAACATTGCCTTTGCCTCTGCAAGCAGTCCACGGATGAAAGGTATTTTGTTGTTTGTTGCTGGCTTTAGACCCTGTATATTTGCAAAGAAGAATGTCATCGGACTGGTGGTATTGTTGGTACTGGGGGGGGATTTTTTTTCAGGCATTAGTATCTGTATCTGTTGGTTTGGAGTGGAGGCTATCGACTGTGGTTCCACTCCAGGAATGACTGGATTAGGTGTACGATTTCTGCCATTTCCTGCCAGTTTTTTTTCCTTCCTGGCACTAAAAAACCTCTCCCTCTTGAGTGGCTGTGGCTACCCAGGTTTTCCCATGGCCTGGATGTTTTGTATCTTTTTGTCCCCTTTAGATGGTGTGCCTGGCAATTTAAGTTATAGCACAGTCTTTCCTGTACTGAAGAGGTACACATTTCAGGGTGAAAAAGCTTACAGGAAGGGAGTTTGCATTTTCCTGTTGTCATATGGGCACGGCATTTTCTAGGGTGGTCATAGTTGCACGTCCCGTCTGTTTTTCCAGATTTCCCATGTCTGCAGATACCAAGTGCATAGTATGTGCACAGGCTTGGTTTCCGTTTGCCTTGGGTTTCTGTGACTGTATTCCCTGTTGGTGCATGTTTCCCTGTCTTATTCCTATCCTCCCTAGCACCAACAATGGAGCTCCCACCAGTTTTTTTGGTAATATATCCTCACTATTGCTAGTGGAGTCCTCTTGTTTGCTATTTCCTGTGGTATTTCTAGTTTGCAATATTGGTTTTATCTTATCTTTGACTACACTTGTTTCCCCACTACGGCTCCTGTCCCCTATGAGGTCATTTATATGTATTCCTTCCTGCGTATAATTCCCGACTACCTGGACAAAATCTCCAGCTTCACCATTACTGTCTCCCAGGACAGCACCTCCAGCTTCACCATTACTGTCTCCCAAGACAGCACCTCCAGCTTCACCATTACTGTCTCCCAGGACAGGCTAGGTTAGGTTAGGTTAGGTTAGGTTAGGTTAGGTTAAGTTAGGTTAGGTTAGGTTAGGTTAGGTTAGGTTAGGTTAGGTTAGGTTAGGTTAGGTTAGGTTTAAGTTAGGTTAGGTTAGGTTAGGTTAGGTTAGGTTAGGTTAGGTTAGGTTAGGTTAGGTTAGGTTAAGTTAGGTTAGGTTAGGTTAGGTTAGGTTAAGTTAGGTTAGGTTTAGGTTAGGTTAGGTTAGGTTAGGTTAGGTTAGGTTAGGTTAAGTTAGTTAGGTTAGGTTAGGTTAGTAAGTTAAGGTTAGGTTAGGTTAGGTTAGGTTAGGTTAGGTTAGGTTAGGTTAAGTTAGGTTAGGTTAGGTTAGGTTAGGTTAAGTTAGGTTAGGTTAGGTTAGGTTAGGTTAGGTTAAGTTAGGTTAGGTTAGGTTAGGTTAGGTTAGGTTAAGTTAGGTTAGGTTAGGTTAGGTTAGGTTAGGTTAAAGTTACATGTAACTTTTTCGCCACCATATAATACTTTAATCCCTAAAAGAGAGAATAAATAAGCTTCTCTTCATATACAGACTGAGAGAAATCCACATCTTGGTGTATATATCATGTGAATTCTTGTAATCTTTCATTTTTCAGTCTATTGCATGAGTGTAGTTGATAAACAAGCATAATAAGTAAATTTCAAAATTCATGATAATTTTAAAATTACGTATGATGCCACTATTCTTTAAATTTATTTTTTCTTAAAGCCTCAGCATATGTACTCATTAATACACTGGAAAAGGATCAGGAAAAACACATTGTATAGGAGCTAATTTCCATTGTTAACGACTGATAGTTTATTTTTAAATAATATTAATCATAGGTGTGGTACACAGGTGAGTGTTAAAAACATTTTAAGTCTACATTATGCTCGACTGCACAGAACTGGTTCATTCTCTGCCATTAAAATGAGCTAAGAAAGACATATATAATACGTAGCTCATCAGTGTCAGACAAGATGGTACAAACCTTGGTAATAAATACCGACAAGTTGGTTTAGAAAGACACGTAAGCAAACACTATAACATATTTATTAGAAAACGTTTCAGTCCTGGGACCTTGATCACTTCTCAAGGTCCCAGGACTGAAACGTTTTCTAATAAATATGTTATAGTGTTTGCTTACGTGTCTTTCTAAACCAGCTCATCAGTACATCATTTTGTACACTGCAGCGCAATAATAACTTCAAACAAATTTTGAAATTAATGAAAGGAACACATATTTAGTGAGTATATACACAGTCTCTTTTTTAAGATGTCCGTAACTTTGTCTATGCCCGTACATATTTATAATGCCCGTACATATTTATAATGCCCATACATATTTATAATGCCCGTACATATTTATAATGCCCGTACATATTTATAATGCCCGTACATATTTATAATGCCCGTACATATGTATCTACTAGAATGAGTGTCAGACTATTTTGTAAAACTATGTACGAAGTTCTTATTATCATCCAGCAGTGAACTATGCTACCGCATCACGCAACCAAAGTTTTAAAGTTAGGTTACTTCTTCGTACTTGTTTTACAGTGATATGTGTACTGAAAGCTGGGAAATTATTAGTCAAAACTAAGCGCTAAACCCACAAGTCACACAGGACAGCAAGGATAACTAAGAATGTGCAAGAAAGGTATAAAATACCGACAATATGAAAGTTAAGACACATGTACAACATCTGGATATCTTTATTGTAGACGTTTCGCCCTCCAGTGGCTTTATCAATACAGATTCTAGGACATAATTAGAAGACAGTAGAACTATATACAAAAGATGAGGTAATCAGTCCCTCAGCGTTGGAGTTAGTGTTCACAGCATCGTGGTGGTGGAGAATCTCTCCAGAGATTCCCATCTTTTGTATATTCTCATCTTTTGTATATAGTTTTACTGTCTTCTAATTATGTCCTAGAATCTGCATTGATAAAGCCACTGGGTGGCGAAACGTCAACAATAAAGCTATCCAGGTGTTGCACATGTGTCTTAACTTTCATAACTAAGAATGCCTCGCTAATGAACTCAGTCGCGCCCGTCTCGCTCTCACCACTGACTCGTTCTCACCATGTCTCCATGTCAAACTGTCTCACCTGAGCAGCTGTGTGCAGAGAACTATGAGGTCATGGTTAGTGGTCAGCCTCAACAGGTGGTTCTCGATCTCTAACCCCATCACCTCCCTCTCCAGAAGGCGCCGCAGGTGGTGGTCCTCCACCTGCTTCACCACCTGCTCGTACAACACCTCCATTAACTGAAACACACAAGGTAGTTACATTGGCTGGTTGGTCAATAGATGATTATCTACACTCGGGTCATTAAAGCTGCACAGAACCTGTTCATTACCAGTGAAGAATACTTTAACCCCTAAAATAGGGATTTAAGCAAATCCTCAGTGAATATACACTGAGAGATCTATACCTCTCTGTGTCTCGTTGCTGAGTGATGAGAGATCTTTGGGTTATGGTGCTCAGTAATGGTGGTGTAATTTACATACAATAATTTGAATTCAATTGTTTCTGGTTAAATCGGCTTCTTTTACAAGTTTATTTAAAATTAAACACGGGAAGCCTGTCTCCTCCTCAAAATTACACATCCACAAACAATAGTGTGAAAGACAGCTAATGAAAAAATTGCATTGACAAATTCTACCAGTATGTATCAAATTTGCTCATTTTTTGTGATAAAAGAATTATGGAAGCTAGAAAGAGATGGGCTGGTCTTTATTTGCATATCAAGAAAGCATCTGATGAAATCCTGGCATAATAGTCCAGTAATTGGAGGTATAAATGGCACATTAATACATTTAACGAGACTATCTTATTGTATAAATGGGATACACCTAATTATTAAATAGTTATAATCATAGCCATGATTTTTAAAGAGGTGGAGAGGTAAGCCTGCGGAAGTCCTCTGTCAGATGACCAAAAGCTCTAGCTGCGGGTTATCATATGACTAAGACCCGGGTCAGGAAACACTTCCTCTTGTTTCCTGACAAACCTTACCTAACCTTTAGAATTTACTATGTAATGAGCCATTGCTTTTTAAATTGCATGTGGAATCTAGATGGGGTAGGTAAGTGAACGCTTGAACACTGAACCGGTCATAGTTTAAGACCAACGTTGTCAAGAAACACTGTGTTGTGTCCTGAGGGATAAACTACCACGAGAGAATGACTACTGTGATCAAACATGATATCCCACTAGTGCAGTATTGGTAGTATTGTCACAGAACTCAGTACTTGTCCTAGTTATGGTCTTTGAGATAACTATCTGCCAGAGTATAACTACTGATAATTCTACAGACAAGCTTGCAGCTGCTGAGAAAACTATGCAATGAAAGAAGCACTAAGTCCCTGCTGAGGAAGACTTGAATAAAATGCTCAGGTGAAGAAATATATGATGAAATTTAATAAAAATTAGAATCTGACCTAATAGAGAAAATAGACAAAAGTTGTAAAGGAACATTAATATGTACTATCACAAGAAGTTAATATAGTCAAGAACGACAGGAAACACGATCATCACACGTTTATAACAGGATCTGAAGGAAAATATATGTAAAAACAGGGAGAATATGACAATTTTAACTCGCTAAAAATATTTTAAAAGACGGAAGTACACTTTTTCTTCAAATTAAGCAATAGACAATTGCAATTGACTGCGAGCATGGATCTACTCCTGCTATTATTATTAATGAAAAGCAGGGGTGTCACTAGCACGTTAAGAGACCAGGAGCTGATCAAAATATCGACTTGGATGACAGCCAATAAACTTACGCTTAACACTGACAAAACCTACTATATTATGTTTGGTAGCAGAGCAGGAGATGCACAAATTAACATTAAGATTGACAAACACGCTAATTACCAGAAATAATGGGGGCAAATTCCTAGGCTTATACCTTGACAACAACCTGAATTTCAGCACCCATATCCAGCATATAACCAAAAAAGTATCCAAAACGGTTGGGATCCTCTCCAAGATACGATACTACGTGCCGCAAAATCCCCTTCTCACACTATACCACTCATTTATCCATACCTCACCTTGCTATTTGTGCTTGGGGATCACTGCTGCAACACACCTAAAGCCAATAATAACCAACAAAAAGCTGCAGTAAGAATAATCACTAAATCCCATCCCGGGGCAACACCCCCCCCCACTCTTCATAGACCTAAACTTACCCCCTGTTCAGTACACCCACACTTATACTGTGCAATCTACATCTACAGGGCCTTAAACTCTAATATCAACCTTGACCTAAAACGCTTTCTTGTTTAGTTGTGACAAAAACCACAGGCATAACACCAGCCAACAAACATCTCTACGACATTCCCTTTGTAAAAATTCAAATTCAAAGTTTTTCTCTAAAAGGGATTACAATGCTGAGTTTACAGAAATTTGGTTATTGTTTGGTTTACATGTAGTAAAATTGTGATTACAGAGTGTACCACTAGAACGCTTAGCATGGCTAGGCATTTCGGGCATACTTAGTTTTATTCTTAATTGTAAAATATTACAAATTATGAGGTAAGTTGGTCTTATGGTAAGTGACTAATACTAGTTTATGAGTTTGCAATGTGAATGCTTTTGTTTTGGCCCCAGTATATAGTTTTTAGTATTGGAGTATCACAGGATTCATTATTTTAAGACTGAGATTAATATTTCTGTTTATGGTCAAATGAGTGAGCGAGTGTAAGTGTGAACCACAGGTGGTATTTCGATGTAGTTAGTTGACGGGGTGTATCAGGGAGATAAGATGTTTTTCTAATGGTAGTTTTGAAGGTGATGAATGTGTCTGCAGTTCTAGAGTTCTCAGGTAGGGTATTCCAGATTTTAGGGCCTTTGACATTCATTGAATTTTTGTAAAGGTTTGTCGGACACGGGGAATGTCGTAGAGATGTTTGTGTCTGGTGTTATGCCTGTGGGTTCTGTCACAACTATCAAAGGCCCTAAAATCTGGAATACCCTACCTGAGAACTCTAGAACTGCAGACACATTCATCACCTTCAAAACTACCATTAGAAAACATCTTATCTCCCTGATAAACCCCATCAACTAACTACACGAATATCACCTGGTGGTTCACACTTACACTCACTCACTCATTTGACCATAAACAGAAATATTAATCTCAATCTTAAAATAATGAATCCTGTGATACTCCAATACTGAAACTATGTACTGTGCCAAAACAAAAGCATTAACATTGCTAAACTCACAAACTAGTATTTAGTCACTTAGCCATAATACCAACTTACCTCATAATTTGTAATGTTTTACAATTAAGAATAAAACTAAGTCCGCCCGAAATGCCTAGCCATGTTAAGCGTTCTAGTGGTACACTCTGTAATCACTATTTTACAACATGTAAACCACACAATAACCAAATTTCTGTAAAATCAACATTGTAATCCTTATAGAGAATAAACTTTGAATTTGAATTTGAATTTGAATACAATAAGTGTCAGGGGTCCGATACTGTTCAACTGCCTCCCAGCATACATAAGGGGGATTACCAACAGACCCCTGGCAGTCTTCAAGCTGGCACTGGACAAGCACCTAAAGTCGGTTCCTGACCAGCCGAGCTGTGGCTCGTACGTTGGTTTGCGTGCAGCCAACAGTAACAGCCTGGTTGATCAGGCTCTGATCCACCAGGAGGCCTGGTCACAGACCGGGCCGCGGGGGCGTTGACCTCCGGAACTCTCTCCAGGTAAACTCCAGGTAAACAGTAGAAAAAAAAGCTTTAAGCCCATATGGGTCACCCCTGTAACTAAAGATAATTACCAGTAAGCTGTCAAACACACATACGAGGCTCACCTGATATTTGAGGAGGTCAGCAGAACGTTTCTTGGCCTCAGAGAGTTGCTTGTATGTCTCTAACTCGCACTCCAGCTCAGCCACCTGCAGATTATATTCAGTTAACTCGAAGAGTTAGCAGGTCGTGAAAACTCAATAAGTATACTCTATCTGGCTTATTTTCATAGGGGCTCATTGGTCCTCTTCACGCAAGAGGCTGCCAAAACCTGTGTACCTACTGACTGCTAGGTGAACAGCGGCAAAAAAATTAAGGAAACATGAACAATGATCTCATCTCGTGCCAGAAGTTAACTCTGACGTTTAGAGGGAAGAATCTTGTGATTTATCTCTCTCTCTCTCTCTCTTTATATACATACATATATATATATATATATATATATATATATATATATATATATATATATATATATATATATATTTCATGCACTGGCCAGGGAGGTATACCATCTTTTAGGAGTGAAGAAGAGCAGGCTGTAAGTGTGGTGGAGGTACGTGAGGCATTACGTAGAATGAAAGGGGGTAAAGCAGCTGGAACTGATGGGATCATGACAGAAATGTTAAAAGCAGGGGGGGATATAGTGTTGGAGTGGTTGGTACTTTTGTTTAATAAATGTATGAAAGAGGGGAAGGTACCTAGGGATTGGCGGAGAGCATGTATAGTCCCTTTATATAAAGGGAAAGGGGACAAAAGAGATTGTAAAAATTATAGAGGAATAAGTTTACTGAGTATACCAGGAAAAGTATACGGTAGAGTTATAATTGAAAGAATTAGAGGTAAGACAGAATGTAGAATTGCGGATGAGCAAGGAGGCTTCAGAGTGGGTAGGGGATGTGTAGATCAAGTGTTTACATTGAAGCATATATGTGAACAGTATTTAGATAAAAGTAGGGAAGTTTTTATTGCATTTATGGATTTAGAAAAGGCATATGATAGAGTGGATAGAGGAGCAATGTGGCAGATGTTGCAAGTTTATGGAATAGGTGGTAAGTTACTAAATGCTGTAAAGAGCTTTTATGAGGATAGTGAGGCTCAGGTTAGGGTGTGTAGAAGAGAGGGAGAATACTTCCCGGTAAAAGTAGGTCTTAGACAGGGATGTGTAATGTCACCATGGTTGTTTAATATATTTATAGATGGGGTTGTAAAGAAGTAAATGCTAGGGTGTTCGGAGAGGGGTGGGATTAAATTATGGGGAATCAAATTCAAAATGGGAATTGACACAGTTACTTTTTGCTGATGATACTGTGCTTATGGGAGATTCTAAAAAAAAATTGCAAAGGTTAGTGGATGAGTTTGAGAATGTGTGTAAAGGTAGAAAGTTGAAAGTGAACATAGAAAAGAGTAAGGTGATGAGGGTATAAAATGATTTAGATAAAGAAAAATTGGATATCAAATTGGGGAGGAGGAGTAGGGAAGAAGTGAATGTTTTCAGATACTTGGGAGTTGAGTGTCGGCGGATGGATTTATGAAGGATGAGGTTAATCATAGAATTGATGAGGGAAAAAGGTGAGTGGTGCGTTGAGGTATATGTGGAGTCAAAAAACGTTATCTATGGAGGCAAAGAATGGAATGTATAAAAGTATAGTAGTACCAACACTCTTATATGGATGTGAAGCTTGGGTGGTAAATGCAGCAGCGAGGGACGGTTGGAGGCGTGGAGATGTCCTGTCTAAGGGGCAATGTGTGGTGTAAATATTTGCAGGAAATTCGGAGTGTGGAAATTAGGAGAAGGGTGTGGAGTTAATAAAAGCATTAGTCAGAGGGCAAAAAGAGGGGTTTTTTTGAGGTGGTTTGGTCATTTAGAGAGAATGGATCAAAGTAATGACATGGAAAGCATATAAATTATAGGGGAAGGAAAGGGGGTAGGGGGTCGTCCTCGAAAGGGTTGGAAAGAGGGGGTAAAGGAGGTTTTGTGGACGAGGGGCTTGGACTTCCAGCAAGTGTGCATGAGCGTCTTAGATAGGGGTGAATGGAGACGAATGATACTTGGGGCCTGGACGATCTGTTGGAGTGTGAGCAGGGTAAATTTAGTGAAGGGATTCAGGGGAAAACCGGTTTTTTTTCTTATAGTCGGACTTGAGTCTGGAAAAAGGGAAGTACAATGCCTGCACTTTAAAGGAGGGTTTGGGATATTGGCAGTTTGGAGGGATATGTTGTGTATCTTTATACGTAAATGCTTCTAAGTTGTATTCTGAGCACCTCTCCTCTGATAATGGTGAGTGGGGTTTGAAGGTTTTGAATGATGATGAAAGTATTTTCTTTTGAGGATTTTTTTCTTTTTTGGGTCACCCTGCCTCGGTGGAGACGACCAACTGTTGAAAAAAAAAAAAAAAAAAAAAAAAAAAAAAAAATATATTGTATATATAATATATATATATTTTATATATATATATTATTAATAAAATATTATTATTTATATATATATTAATATATTTTTAATATAAATATAATATTTATATATATATATATATTAATATATATATATATGATATATATATATTACATTATATATATATATATTAAAATATATTATATATAGATATAATATTTTATTAATTTATATATATTTTAATATATATATATATATATATATTTGTATTATATATTTATAAAATATATATTATATAATAAAATATTATGTAAATTATATTATATATATATATATAAAAAATATTTAAAATATATATATATACATAATATTCTATCTTGTGTATAAGCACAGATGTGTGAAGGGAGGACACGTATATACACACAAATTTGGCCTTGTCTGTCTGGGTGGTGAGTTTCACAGATGTGTAAATGGAAAACCTACTCACCCCTTTGCTCAACACCTCCTCATCCTACCTCAAAATCCCGCCTCACACCTTGTTTTTTACCACCCACACACACCACAATTAAATTCTACACAACGAAAACAATGAACATATGTTACGTGTATTAAAATCCTGTCTGGTTCGATCTACTTAAATTCTAACCTTTTCACACTAGAGTAGGTTAGTTAATATGTCATACAGTTTATTACAAACATATTTGAAATTCTATAAAATTGCTTTCAATGTAGTATTGGGAACCTACGTAAGAGAGTTAATTGTAACAGTTTTGATTAGCACGTTATGATCGTTTTTATTGGAGAGCGAATTAGGAGAGAGGAGAGAGGAGAGAGGGAGAAGAGGAGAAAAGAGAAGGGAAGAGAGGGGACAGAGGAGAGAGAAGAGAGAGAGAGAAATAGAGAAAAAGGGAAGAGAGAGAGAAGAAAGAGGGGAAGAGGAGAGAAAAGAGAGGAGAAGAGAGAGAAAGAGAGAAAAGAGAGGGGTGAGAGAGAGAGAGGAGAGAGAGAGAAGAGAGAGAGAGAGAGAGAGAGAGAGAGAGAGAGAGGAGAGAGAGAGAGAGAGAGAGAGAGAGAGAGGGGAGAGAGAGAGAGACAGGCAAACAGGCAGACAGGCAGACAGGCAGACAGACAGACAGACAGACAGACAGACAGAGATGGATAGAGAGGGAGAGAGCTGTACACATGCAAGAGACAAGGTGTGCACAGGCAGTGGAAGTGATTTGCGCAGGAAATACAGATATACACGTGGCACAGAAAACAGATGTGCATATGAGAAGATGTACACATAAAATGCACAAAATGTACAAAGGAAAACATAAAATGTACACAGGAAATACACATGATAAATATATATGAAGTACACAAGATGCATACAGGACATGCACAAGAAGTGCACATGAATTACTCAAAATGGGAATGAAAAGTGTACACACGGTAAGCACACAAAATGTACACTCGAAGTACACATGATGTACACATAAAGCACTCAATATATACATACGAATTACAAAAGATGTACACAGGAAGTAAGGATGTACAGAGGAAGTATACATGAAGTGTACAAGCAGTACACGGGAGATAAGTAAGATGTATACATGAAATACAGAAATCCAATACGGGGTTAGACAGCTCTTGGGGGGACCGGGAGACAATCAAGTTCCATCCGAAGAAAGGGAAAGGTACTCCAGTACCCTGGGTGGAAGTGTAGTGTACGATCCCAATGGAAATGTCACTTTGTCTGATCTTTTTTTTTGTGGGGAGGGGGGTTATCTTAGGCAAATTATAACTGTTATGTGTACATGTGCCTAAATAAACTTACTAGAGATGGAACACAGGGTAGGAATTGCCCTACGTGACTGACCTTCCTGTGGAGGGAAGTGTTGGGGGGAGCTGGTGGTGGGCGACTTCGAAGACTCGTAAGAACTCTCCGCAAGGCGTCCACTACGCCCGCCCAGCGTCCCTTGCTACTGTGGTCACCCACAGCATCCTGGACCTCCTCCCTGGAGACCTGTTCGCACTCACAATATGACTCCTGTGACGCACACGCACAAGACAACGTATATGATATATCCCGAACAGTTTTTTCGTCACGCATTCTCTCTGGTCTTGGAGAGATAGCTGGGGACGTGTCCACTGAGGAAGGGACAGTGTGGGGTATGTCCAGAGACGAGGTGTCCACTGACGAATCCCGTCGTTTGTTGGGGCGTGGGGCGTCGCTCGCGTACCTTGCTTGAGTAGTCAGTAATTCCTGGTGTGGCATAAAAGTGCTTGTCTTGTGAGAGGTCCTTGGTGTGTGCCCGGGTGTGCCCCTGGACCAGCGAGCCTGCAGTTCCTGGTACCCGACTGTGAACTTCACACTGTTGTAGTAGTCCTCCTGGGGCAGCGTGTGGGCGTGAGTACGCCCATCGCTTGGCTCCCCCGCCCTCAACACTTTGGCTGACGGTGGGGTCCAGGTGTGAGCAGAATCAGTAGTAGCCATCTGAGGAACTCCTGCCACAATGAGTCTCTATACAACTATGATGAATAACAGGTGTGGTGGAGGCCCACTAACCCACCAACCCTTCCCCACATTCGTACAGCTGTACACTCTTCCTACACTCACAAGGCCACCACCGATGATTATACAACATGTAATAAACAGTCCCTGTCGTCATACTGCCAAATGGGACCTTATTGACTAGCACTATCCATTTCACCTGTGAATTACTTTCTGCACTAATTCCTCTTCACAAAGTTAAACTAACCCATTTCATCTTTACTGGTATCATTAATTCGTGTATTAGTGTAAAGTCGGGAAGTTTAGTTCTTCAATTATTTGTTTTCCATGTTAATATGAGGAAATAACATGTCCCTGACTGTGCACGTGGTATAGCTCGCTCACACGCGTACAAAACCAGGGTCACTAATTCAGGAAGTTTTCGTGTGTACGTACACAACATTGGAACTTAAATATTAGTCATCACTGTGCAAAAAGATTCCAGCCTCACACGTGTTTATTTCACGTATGCGAAGTCGAAACTAACGCTCCTCCTCTTCCAGGTAAAAACATTCACACAAAGACTTAATAAAACAATAAGTACTTTCGTACCAGAGTAAAATATTCGGCGTCATTTAAAGAACATCAGAATTCTTACCGAGGTCCCTACAGGCACCCTACCATCTTAGAGTTAGGAAACATGTCCTAAGTCTGGCGAAGTGCTCACGACTCAAAAAATTGGAGCTACACTCACCTTCCTTAATTAATTATTATTAGCAAAAAGAAGCGCTGAACCTACTAGGGTCATACAGTAAATCACCTTCCTGGAATCATACCTGATAACGTACCAGCACAAAGGCGCTGTGTAACAATTCAGGCTTAAGGCCTTCCATTTAATAATAATGCAGCTCTTCAACAAACATGTAAATCCTTCAGATTTACAGAGTAACTAGTTCAGTTCGAGTTCATGATCCCCAATCTTGAACTATCGTATTTTTTCATGATTTAAAATTGCATAGAACCTGCATCTTTCGTCTCCTTCAGTGGATTCCACTTGTTTACCACCTTGACGCTGAAGAACAAGTGAAGGAAGGGTAACTGATGGCAGTACGGTGGACCACAGCAACACCCACCACTGGTTGACCAATGCTGGATCTTAATTAACATTCCAGTATTTCAACAGATCGCGGACAGCCTGCCTGGTGAGCCACGGGGCTGCGATTAATGGATGGAGGATCGATCCTCCACAGCTCCCTGTACTAAATGACCCTTGAAGCGACTGTAGCTGATGAACTTTTAATCCAACACTTGGTATCGTCATTGCCCTACTGATGTCTCCCAGCCCAGGCTTACACATTTCAAGACCTTGTTTGTAACCCAGCTCGTGTAAAGGGAAGTGACAGGGAAATAGCTCTTCTTCCCACCGTCTAAATATTACATAGAATAGAGTAGCAGCACACTCTTGATGCATCCAATTTTGCTAAATAAATAGGTAAACCTCAATTTCTTGCATCAAGAGCAGACCAGCAGCATCAAGGCACGCCACTTCTCTCTCGGAAGGGAACACTTGTTAGTGTGTACAGACGTGTTACATACAAATTAAATAGCAGGTCACCTAGCTTAGTTAGCTGATCAGTAAAGGTCACGGGACAGTAGGTGTGTGTGTGCGTGTGTGTGTGTGTGTGCACTCACCTAATTGTGGTTGCAGGGGTCGATTCATAGCTCCTGGCCCTGCCTCTTCACTGATCGCTACTAGATCCACTCTCTCCCTACTCCATGAGCTTTATCATACCTCTTCTTAGAGCTATGTATGGATCCTGCCTGTGTATGGATCCTAGAGAGTGATCATTCTTATCTCTCTCCACACACACTGTAAGTGAGTGTGTGTGTGTGTGTGTGGAGAGATAAGAACGATCAAAACAAAGATAAATTACTGATTAAATTTGTTTAATACACTAGATGAAATCAGGATAACCCTCCTCGAGGAGACAGAAGCACATTACAGAGCACTAAAAGACCAGCGTGGAGGATACCAGCGTGGAGAACACCATCGTGGAGAACACCTTCGTGGAGGACACCAGCGTGGAGAACACCAGCTGACTTATCTTGGACGAGTGCAAGTCATCAGTACTACTACTACCAGCACCATCACCCACCACCACCACCGCCACTAATAAGTCATTCAGAGCATCCTGTCGTGTAGTGAGCACTCAACACTCCCGTGTTCCCAAGTAGCCACTGCTGCTCGACCCTCAGCCACACCACTGGACAAAACTATCACAGTGGTCAAACCTTCGCCATTTTACAAGAGACTCTTAAGTGTATATCTCTCCACATAGCTTGTGACGTTGTGTGCAACTAATAATCTGTATTTTGTGCTTCTAACAATCACCAGCAGCCTGGATGCTTAGAGACAGAGACGCACTGAGAGATGGAAGACTCAAACCTCTATCACACCCTCCACAGTATGACCCACACGGGGCTTACTGCTTCATAAGTTATAGTTACAATAATAAGTGTTTTTAACGCAAGTGACCTGTGAATATTATTATTACAATCACGGGAAACACTAAACCCAACGATCTGACAATTTTAAGTGAAAGCGAGAGAAAACGTAGATATGGTAGATGGCTGAAATTTGCCGGTGAATATTGTACTTTGAAAACCAGCCATGGGACTGAAGGTTATGTTGCAGGTGTTGGTATATGTTGCATGTGCGCATACCTTATTTGGGGTATCATCGGTGCACGCCGGCCCTTCTCTCCTTCCCTACACCGGCCTACACACTTCTTGCACAACCTACTCCAGCCTACTAGGATGTCTGCAAGAGGCTTGTAAAGACCTCAAGACACTCCTGGCGGCCGCTGATACAAACCACATAATGAAAGACTCAAACACCTTGAACGTTTTAGTAACGCGAGCCCAACAATGGGCCACAAAGTTCCAGCGTGATCTACGTTGGTTCACCAAGATGTATAAGTTAAGAGAGCCGCTGGTAAACACTGTGGAGAGGGAGGCTGACCAACGGTATTTACCCAACCCTCTTTTAACGTCACCAGACAGCGTTATACAACTTCAAAAGACAAGATTTACAGCTCTTCAACCTTACTGGCTGGCAAGTAAAACCTTCGCTAATTTTATCGTTCAGCACAAGAAGCGAACAAGATTCCCAGCACAACATAGCCATCACAGCCAGGCTGATCTAGCACTTCTTGAAGGTACCCCATCCAGTTTCCTCTTGACAACTTTTACCTATGTTTCACCATTATTTCTGATATCTTCTGGTAGGAAGATGATCACGGATGGTGACTGTTCTTTAAGCATGCCTAGGGCACCCCTTCTCTTCATTAAGTTTATACTTGTTCCCGTGGTTCTCGCTCCAGCATTTTGTTATAGTAGCGTAAAGATTGATGACCTTACTCTTAAGTATTTTCTATGTGTATATTAGAGTATCAGGTATCTCTCTTCACCGCTCTAGAAAGTACAGTCCAAGTGATGTGAAATGTTTCCAATAGCTCAGACATTTATTGATTTTTGTGGGTAGTAAATGTAAAAACTCTTAGGGTGAATACTACAGCTGGACATACCTGAAATTGACATGACTATTAATATTATATAATAGGGAGTGGCCTATATGCTGAATAAAAAAATATAATGGCCGAGTAACAGGATAGACTCTTGTGGATCAAGAGGGTGTATAACTCTGGTAGATGGAAGGCAGTGTTAGGAAAGTCCTGAGAAAGGTTGGATGAATGATGTGAGGAAAAATATTGAAAAGTAGAGGCCTGAGCACCCAGCAGGCATGTGTGTGTTAGAGCGGAGTAGAGACCTAATGTTCTTGTATCCTCCTCACCTGCCTCTCTCTCTCTCTCTCTCTTCCTGGTAGAGTTGTTGGTGAAGGTGTGCAGGATGGAGGAAGCGGGCGAGTCAAACAAAGTAAGCGTGGCAGAGGTCGACGTGGCAGCAGTGGTGAGGGAAGTGCCAGCAACTTTCCTGAGCGTGGCACTGGGTCCCCGCCTTATCCAACACAAATGGTTAAACTTCAACACCAGGTGAAACACACACACACACACACACACACACACACGGGGCCAGGAGTTGTGACTCGACCCCCGCAACCACAAATAGGTTAGCACACATAGTGTGTTCATGTGGAAAACCACTTCTACTTGATAAAGATAAGTTCGTTACCTTCGGTCTATAAGCATGAAGTCTTCCTTATTTCCCACTAATTATGCATGTTAGTCATCAAGTTTGTTCATTTTTTTGGCTTATTAGTCCCTTCAGTATAGCTAATAAGTCAACAATAAATCAATGACAGTGACACTTGGTACGTGACTCAATCTGACCTGACTTGATCTCTTTGACCTCAGCTCCCCTCTGGTGTTGACTCTCACCAGAGCCTTGGCTCCAGCTGTCCTCAGGATGGGGGGATCAGCAGCTAACTTTCTCACTTATGACCCAGCAAGTCAAAACGTTTCCTGGCCAGCGTCTCCCAGCCACAACCTCGAGCAACACACTACCTCAGTAACTCCCTCACTCCAGGTCCTGCAAGACACCGCAAACTCTGGCAACGAAATAAACTATGAGAATAACCACACTAAGGCTGGAACAGACATTCCCTACATAAAAAACGCTAAATGGAACAGGTACCAGTACCCATGGAGTCAGAGAGGCTGGAGTTCCATCACTGAGGTAGCAGACAGCTCTCACAGTAGTGCTGGAACAGGTCATCTTTCTCCAGAGGAAAACGTTGAAAGACGTCGCTGTAACAGTGACTTCGCCTCGTCAACGTTCACAAACTTCACCATGACTAGTAAGAGTTCTGATTTAGCTTGTTTAGTTGCGTTTATTTTGTTATTTACTGTTTAGGGAAACCAAGAATGAAATATATTTTTTTTCGTTGTCAACACTGTGCAATGAATTATTCCTTATCCTCATTCATGTAACACTTAAATTACCTTGACCTATTTACTCATGCACCACAGTGAAACAATGTTATACTTGAAAGCAAAATTACGTAGTGTTTTGTGGGCAGGACAAGACTGGGATCAGCTGATTGTGCTGGCAGAGGCAACAGGGATGAAGTTGTTGTTCGATGTGAACCAGTTCTACCGGGGTAAGGATGGTTCCTGGGACCCCACCAATGCTAGGCTCCTCATGCAAGCTGCTGCTGCCAAGGATGCTCACCTTATCTGGCAGCTGGGCAACGGTAAGGCTCCACCTATATCATTTATAGGAGTAGCAAACCACATACTTATGAGTCCCGTTTCTAATTATTCAAATTATTATACGAATTAAACTTTAGTAACTAAATAAATGATTGTGCGTGTGTGTACTCACCTATATGTGGTTGCAAGGGTCGATTCACAGCTTCTTGGCTGATCGCTACTCGGTCCACTCACTCTCCCGGCTCCAAGAGCCTTATCATATCTCTTCTTAAAAACTAATTCGACCTATTTTATTCCTAGAGCCCAACGCTTACACTCACAATTTCGGCTTCAACATCACCGGAGAGAGGTCAGCCAGTGACCACCTGCAGCTGTACCGGGAGCTGCAACACCACTTCCCTGGCCAAGCACCCATCGTGGCTCCAGACATCACCAGACCTAAACAACGTGGCCAGCAGCAGGACCACCAGGGTACTGAACCTCGTTACTTGTTGCACGCCCCTTCAGGGTAGGAAGAGCAGGTCCTTGATACTGGTGAAGGTCTCTTGATGTAAAGATTTGGAATTATCCTCCCCTTTTGTGGATCAAACAATAACTCCATTTTCCCCAGGCGCTGTATGATGCATAAAAATTTAACGAGATATATTACGTTTGCTGTACGATCCGTGTAAGGTATTCCCGCACTGCATAACTCCAGCTCTGTAGGTCAATCCACGCGAAAATGTTAATGCTGAGTCTGGAATATATTTATAAAGCAGTTGCGTATTGGCGTTAAAGATTTGAAGCGAATCAGATTTGATATTTACAAGTTATCATATGGACACTAATATCCCCACCTTTTTCAATGAAAATAACAAAATTAGGACACCTACAGCCCTAGACTAATTCAAATCTTCCACTAAGAAACATTAACTTTGAAGCAAAATTAAAGACGAATTCTCTTGTTATCTCAGAGGGACAAATATCCTAAAATACACAAGCACAGTAAGTTTTATGCCGCTCAGAATTTGAATTATCAAGCTATCAGCGTTGAAAGGTAAGGGCAATGAGATGAGGCTGTCAGAAATTATCTCGTGAAAATCAGTATTTCAATTTTGTCAGTTTATTCTACATAAAAAAGGCAAATTGGGACCAACACAGGTCACAGAAATGTTTCTCCAAGTAAGATTTATCAGCTTTAAAGATCCCTCTTCGGGAATGTCTAATAATAGTCAGTCGCCTACTGTTTAAAAAATGTAAAGCTATGTTTGACAGCTTTTTCCAGAAATTTAAAAATAATGTAGACTACCATTTCTTAATATATATAGATACGAGCTGCAAATCTAAAGTTTACACGAAACAAAATAAATATGCTCAAATGTTTACTCACTGTGGTCAGGCTTGGGCGAGACGTCGCTGGAGTTCCTCAGAGTGTTTCTGGGTTCCCTCAAGATCAACTTGACTGCTGTCACCTGGCACCAGTAAGCATGTATACTCTCAAACTTCCTACATGCATTCATACAAAACATATACATGCTTGACTTTCGAAAAATATATTAAAAAAAAAATCACAGGTTTAGTAAACAATGGAGCTGTATTTTTTATATATCTATAGAACAGGGATTCAGTGCATGTTTTTTTAAGTTTTTAATAATAAAAATTACAGTACTACTGCTACTATTACTATTACTGATACAACTAATAATAATAATCTATCGACTAGTATAACATCTCACCTCGAGTGTATCCAAGTTTGGTTTACTAAATAGCATATAACATTTTAGGTATTACATGGATGGCAGGACGGCCCAGGTAGAAGACTTCCTCTCCCCCTCTTTGATGGACCAATTCAAGTGGCAAATTACTCAGGTGGTCTCGGTCCGTGACCAGTTCTCTCCCGGGACTCCTATTTGGCTAAGTAAGAACCTGTTCCCTCTTCAGGTGATTTCTTATAGTGGCTTCCTGTAACTCCAGGTATTTTTCACGCTTGTCCTATATTCCCTCTCCCTTGAGAATTTTATTTTTTTCCATTATCTTATAATTCCTCTTCTAGTACTTTTCACCATTATTTAATAATTCCTCTTCCAGGACTCTTCACTATTGTTTTCTAGTTCCTCTTCTAGTACTCGTCGCCAGTGACTTATAATTCCTATTCTAGTCCGTTTAACCCTTGTTTTCATAGTTCCTCTTCTAGTATTCTTCAGGACTGTCATAAATTTACGCTTTACCTGGCTAACACTGACGCCAGGACTGTGTTGACAGCGGAGACAAGCTCAGCCTATGGTGGTGGTGCCAGGGGTCTGAGCGACGCCTTCGTGGCTGGTTTCCTCTGGCTGGACAAGCTGGGGCTGGCAGCCGCCCTCCATGGTAGTGGTGGAGTGGAGCTTGTGGCTAGGGAGACGCTTTATGAAAGCTGCTACGCCCTGATTGCTACGGATCTAGTTCCGAATCCGGTAAGAGACAGAAACTGGAGGTGAACATGGCTACATACGGTCAGCGTCTCAACAAATGTACATTAGTTATTAGTTGGAGTAGTAGTACTGGAAAAATAAGATAATCTAAGCAGTATGTATCATAATATATGATAAGGTTTCGCTTGATATACACACCTGTTCAACATCACCCGGAATGACCCGAGACTACGCAAAATGTCTGCTTCAGTGACCTGGTGGGTCACTGAAAGAGCCTACCAAACAAAAACCTTGGAATTCCATTGCAAAGTAGGGCAAATAGGTTATGTTAGGTTTGTTGCCTTTTTAGGGGCTTTTGTCCTAAGGTACTTTTGTCCAACATTCCCTCGCAACAGGACTACTGGCTCTCTGTGCTCTACAAGCGTCTTGTAGGAGGTAGAGTTCTAAGTCTGCGTCTTAGGGGAACTCAACCCACTACTCGCCTCTACGCCCACTGCCTCAGGAACCTAACTGGGGATTATACACCAGGTGAGTCTGTTGCTATAATTCAGCCAGGCAAACTAGTCCCGCATTACACACTATATTCAAAAGCCAAAAAATTAAATTTTGTCCTAATAATTTAATATACAATTCCTGAAAATCAGCGTACTTTACATAATAGAAGACGAATTTTTGAGACTAGAATAAATTTGAGGAAAAAAATGGGGTAACAGAGGGTCATTATTTAATCCCATTCATTTACAGTTGAGCTAGAATGTAAAAGGTTTTCGACTAAATCGTATAAAAATTTTTACCAAATAATCAACATTTTACCAAATGCTCTAAAAAAATTACCCATTACTCTTAACATTTTAACCAAAAAAAAATCTCTATTTGACCAAATCCTTTTGTATTTTGAGAAAATAATGCTACATTTGAGCAAAGTAGAGATAATTTAACTTAGTGACCTAAGGCTGACTATTATTTGACCAAATATGTATGACCCCCCCCCCCCACCCTCCTGGTTCATTTAACCTCGTTCTTCAAACTTCAACTTTTCGCTCCAATACTTAACGAATTCATTTTTAAGAGAGGTAGTGTAAGAACCTGATAGTGAAGGGCTCTTGATCCAAGTATATCATCCAGGATTTTTCCATCGACCTAATGTGTCATCCTATACTGACTCCGCCAACCTAGTATGTCATCTGTAATTGAATCTATCAACCTGGTAATGGTATCCATGGTGGAATCCATCAACGTAGCATGTCATCTATAATTAAGTCCATTAACGTAGTATGTCATCCATAACTGAATCCATCAACCCAGTATGCCATCCATGATTGAATATTCCAACTCAGATTTCACAAATTCCCCCAAAATCGAACCCGTCAATTCAGTATTTCCATCAAAATATAATCCAAGCCCAACTGGTCATCCAAAATTACTCATCAAACCTATTACATGTATTATAATTCATTATCCAAAATTTAAACCATCAACCCAATTTCCAAACCCAGTAATCATTTCGGTCTCAAGGCTGAAATACGTACATCAAAGTGTTCCGTAGCTCGATTGGTAGTGCACTCAGCTCATACATTGAGGTCCAGGGGTCGATCCCCGGTACGGGTGGAAACATTAGGACGTGTTTGCATAAGGCACCTACTGTCCATGATCACCTGGGTGTTAGTCGGCTGGTGTGGGTCGCATCCTGGGGACAAAACTGACCTAATTTGCCCGAAAATTTCTACATAACAAGGTGCTTTCTATATAGTATTATGTCGTTTATGTCAGCTAGGCCTGTATACCTTGTACATGTACTTGTGGAAATAAGTATTATTAAGGTTGTGCTTATGTTTTCTCCACAACACGGTGCCGTGACAGGAAGTGTGGTAGTGTTTGGGATGAACCTGTCCAAGGAGCCGGCGCAGGTGACTCTGAGTGGCCACCTGGCCACATCACCTCTCCTCCAGTACCTACTCCAGCCACCTGATGGAAACCTGCAGTCCAGGTGAGCCGCACTTCTTGTATTTCGAGTGATACTAGTGTAGATTTGACAACGTTTTCCAGTTGTGTTCAGTTACCCTGCTGACACACACCGCTTCTGCAGTCATTTATAGTAATATGTGCGCTTTATTTATATAAATATTATTGTAACCACGAACAAGTGGTATTTAATCAGTAACAAAATGCGGCTAGCCGGGGGATCGAACCCGTGTTGTTTTAGCCTGCCTCGTGGGAAGAGCGAAAATTCACCATGCTCTACATCACTGGGCGTCGTGAATTTTCCCTCTTCCATGAGGCGGGCTAAAACACGGGTTCGATCCCCCGGCTAGCCGCGGTTTGTTACTGATATAAATATATGTGTAAGCACATGAAAGCGCTTAAGTTTTATTTCCTATTTTCACTGTAGTATTTACGCACACACACACACACACACACACACACACACACACCACACACACACACACACACACACACACACACACACACACACACACACACACACACACACACACACACACACACACACACACACACACACACAATACAGTCGCAGACAGCGATCTTAATGCAAGACCCACCCAGTGGATTGTCTTGCAGTGCGATGGAAAGTCTACGGAAATTTGTCACCGGACTTCGTGTTCCTGTACAGTACAGTATGTATTTATATTACCTGGAATTTACCCGGAGAGAGTTCCGGGGTTCAACGCCCCCGCGGCCCGGTCTGTGACCAGTCCTCATGGTGGATCAGAGCCTGATCAACCAGGCTGTTACTGCTGGCCGCACGCAATCCAACGTACGAACCACAGTCCGGCTGGTCAGGTACTGACTTCAGGTGCTTGTCCAGTGCCTGCTTGAAGACAGCCAGGGGTCTATTGGTAATCCCCCTTATGTATGTTTTTACGAGAGAGAGAGAGAGAGTTTTTAGTTTAATATATTTATTATGCACCCCATACCCATCCTGTGGGCGGTAGTCAAAAGATTACAAAGGTACATAATGGGTCCAGGGACTGGACCCCAAAGAGAGAGAGAGAGAAATAATTGCAGTAGCCATTAAACACATATACATATACACATGCATATACACATACATATACATATACATATACATACACACACACACACATACACACACACACACACACACACACACACACATACACACATACACATACACATACATACATACATACACACACACACACACACACACACACACACACACACACACACACACACACACACACACACACACACACACACGCACACGCACACACACACACACACACACAAAATACTGAGAGGAATTGACAAGGTGGACAAAGACAGGATGTTCCAGAGATTGGACACAGTAACAAGGGGACACAGTTGGAAGCTGAAGACACAGATGAATCACAGGGATGTTAGGAAGTATTTCTTCAGCCACAGAGTGGTCAGTAAGTGGAATAGTTTGGGAAGCGATGTAGTGGAGGCAGGATCCATACATAGCTTTAAGCAGAGGTATGATAAAGCTCACGGCTCAGGGAGAGTGACCTAGTAGCGATCAGTGAAGAGGCGGGGCCAGGAGCTCGGACTCGACCCCCCCAACCTCAACTAGGTGAGTACAACTAGGTGAGTACACACAAGCTCATGGTTCAGGGAGAGTGACCTAGTAGCGACCAGTGAAGAGGCGGGGGCCAGGAGCTTGGACTCGACCCCTGCAACCTCAACTAGGTGAGTACACACACACGTTTGACACAGTTCCACACAGGAGATTGGTGCAAAAACTGGAGGACCAAGCAGGGATAACAGGGAAGGCACTACAATGGATCAGGGAATACTTGTCAGGAAGACAGCAGCGAGTCATGGTACGTGGCGAGGTGTCAGAGTGGGCACCTGTGACCAGCGGGGTCCCACAGGGGTCAGTCCTAGGACCAGTGCTGTTTCTGGTATTTGTGAACGACATGACGGAAGGAATAGACTCTGAGGTGTCCCTGTTTGCAGATGACGTGAAGTTGATGAGAAGAATTCACTCGATCGAAGACCAGGCAGAACTACAAAGGGATCTGGACAGGCTGCAGACCTGGTCCAGCAATTGGCTCCTGGAGTTCAATCCCACCAAGTGCAAAGTCATGAAGATTGGGGAAGGGCAAAGAAGACCGCAGACGGAGTACAGTCTAGGGGGCCAGAGACTACAAACCTCACTCAAGGAAAAAGATCTTGGGGTGAGTATAACACCAGGCACATCTCCTGAAGCGCACATCAACCAAATAACTGCTGCAGCATATGGGCGCCTAGCAAACCTCAAAACAGCATTCCGACATCTTAATAAGGAATCATTCAGGACCCTGTACACCGTGTACGTTAGGCCCATATTGGAGTATGCGGCACCAGTTTGGAACCCACACCTAGCCAAGCACGTAAAGAAACTAGAGAAAGTGCAAAGGTTTGCAACAAGACTAGTCCCAGAGCTAAGAGGTATGTCCTACGAGGAGAGGTTAAGGGAAATCAACCTGACGACACTGGAGGACAGGAGAGATAGGGGGGACATGATAACGACATACAAAATACTGAGAGGAATTGACAAGGTGGACAAAGACAGGATGTTCCAGAGATTGGACACAGTAACAAGGGGACACAGTTGGAAGCTGAAGACACAGATGAATCACAGGGATGTTAGGAAGTATTTCTTCAGCCACAGAGTAGTCAGTAAGTGGAATAGTTTGGGAAGCGATGTAGTGGAGGCAGGATCCATACATAGCTTTAAGCAGAGGTATGATGAAGCTCACGGCTCAGGGAGAGTGACCTAGTAGCGATCAGTGAAGAGGCGGGGCCAGGAGCTCGGACTCGACCCCCGCAACCTCAACTAGGTGAGTACAACTAGGTGAGTACACGCACACACGCACACACTTATATACAATAGGCCAAGTGTCTAATCGACATGTGCCTAGGACAAAATGGTAACTAACATACAGTACATAAACACGAAGTCCGGTGAAACATTTCCGTAGATTTTCTCAGGCAAAGCTCTGCTCATTGTCAGCTTAGTCGTAGATAGTTTCTCACTTAATTTATCTTCTCTTCAGACAGGTGATGTTGAATGGCAGAGTGTTGGACGTGACATCAGATGGGCAGCTGCCAGACCTAATGCCCAGCTCCCAGCCCCCCGGCACCCTCCAAATACCCGCTACCTCCCTGGGTTTCTGGGTCCTGCCCCATGCCCAAGCCCCCGCCTGTGTGTAACCAGACCTTCCTCTATACAAGTGCTGCCTCATGCCCATACCTACAGTCTGTGTGTAGCTAGACAACCCTGTACATGTGTTGCTTCATGCCCTCACCTCACCCTACCCCGCTGGTGGGCAGCCAGACACCTCGTCAAACACAAGGATATCTTCAACACGCGGAAGTCCTTCAGGTAACATGTTAGGCAGCGTCCGGCTCTCCATCAGCGGAATAATAATAAAAATAAAAGTGATCTTTATTTCTAAAAGTACGTGTACAAGGTATATAGGCCTGGCTGACATCAATGACACACTACTATACAGAAAGCCCCTTGTTATGCAGGGCATTTCAGGCAAATTAGGCCTTGTCCCAGGATGCGACTCACACCAATCGACTAACACCCAGGTACCAGTTTTACTGATAGGTGAACAGAGACAGCAGGTGTCTTAAGGAAACACGTCCTAATATATTCACTCGTACCGGGGATCGCACCACGGACCTCAGTGTGTGAGCAGAGTGCCTTAGCAGGCGAGCTACGGGAAATGAATCAAGCCTGCACTAGTCCTCCCTCCTTGGGTCAAACCTGATTACCCCAAACGCTGTATGACCCCTATGAGTTTAGAGCTACCTCATAAATATAATACTGATCTAACACCACCACCCCTTGAGCTGAATAACTCACACGAGTTTGCCTCTTCACGTAAATGAATAAGTCTTCAACATCATTTTTTATATAGCTTGGGTTTGGTTAGAACCCAACCTAACGGAATCTAAATTAGAATACAAGGATGGGGGAACACAGCAGCAGTTCTACTAAGTGGTCCATGTTAGGCAAGTCTATCTCACACCCACCCACGCACGCATGTACTCGTCTAACCTACATTTAACATAACCTTACTTAACCTAACCTCTGTAGTAAATATTGACCAATAATAATGATAAGGAAGTACCATATGTGTATTGTACATGCAACATTAACGTGATCTTGCAAATTTAGGAACAATATTGACTCGGTCACATCACTGACCTTGGCTTTTAAGTGATGGAAGAAATCGTTCTTGTGATTGTTTATTGTTGGAGAGCCTAGTCATGAAGGAACACTGGCTGTGTGGGGTGTGGGTAGGTTGTGGGGAAGATAGGATTGCTGGTAGGCTGTGGGGGAGTGAGTAGGCTGCTTTGAAGTGAGGTGTGGGTAGGTTGTGTCGAAGGGAGGTGTGGGTAGGCTGTGTCAAAGGGAGGTGTGGGTAGGCTGTATCGAAGGGAGGTGTGGGTAGGCTGTATCGAAGGGAGGTGTGGGTAAGTTGTGTCGAAGGGAGGTGTGGGTAGGCTGTGTCGAAGGGAGGTGTGGGTAGGCTGTGTCGAAGGGAGGTGTGGGTAGGCTGTATCGAAGGGAGGTGTGGGTAAGTTGTGTCGAAGGGAGGTGTGGGTAGGCTGTGTCAAAGGGAGGTGTGGGTAGGTTGTATCGAAGGGAGGTGTGGGTAGGCTGTATCGAAGGGAGGTGTGGGTAAGTTGTGTCGAAGGGAGGTGTGGGTAGGCTGTGTCGAAGGGAGGTGTGGGTAGGCTGTGTCGAAGGGAGGTGTGGGTTGGCTGTGTTGAAGGGAGGTGTAGGTATGCTGTGTTGAAGGGAGGTGTAGGTAGGCTGTGTCGAAGGGAGGTGTGGGTTGGCTGTGTTGAAGGGAGGTGTAGGTATGCTGTGTCGAAGGGAGGTGTAGGTAGGCTGTGTCGGGGTGGTTGCTGAGATGAAGGGAGGTGTGGTGTTAGGCTTGGTGTGTTTGAAGGGAGGTGTAGGTAGGCTGTGTCGAAGGGAGGTGTGGGTTGGCTGTGTTGAAGGGAGGTGTAGGTAGGCTGTGTCGAAGGGGGAGGTGGGTTGGTGTGGTTGAAGGGAGGTGTAGGTAGGCTGTGTCAAAGGGAGGTGTAGGTAGGCTGTGTCGAGAGTTGGTCGGAGGTGTGGTAGGCTGTGTCGAAGGGAGGTGTAGGTAGGCTGTGTCGAAGGGAGGTGTGGGTTGGCTGTGTTGAAGGGAGGTGTAGGTATGCTGTGTCGAAGGGAGGATGTGGTAAGGTGGTCTGTGTCGAAGGGAGGTGTGGGTAGCTGTGTCGAAGGGAGGTGTGGGTTGGCTGTGTTGAAGGGAGGTGTGGGTATGCTGTGTCGAAGGGAGGTGTGGGTATGCTGTGTCGAAGGGAGGGGTGGGTATGCTGTGTCGAAGGGAGGTGTGGGTTGCTGTGTCGAAGGGAGGTGTGGGTATGCTGTGTCGAAGGGAGGTGTGGGTATGCTGTGTCGAAGGGAGGTGTGGGTATGCTGTGTCGAAGGGAGGGTGGGTAGGCTGTGTCGAAGGGAGGTGTGGGTTGGCTGTGTTGAAGGGAGGTGTGGTATGCTGTGTCGAAGGGAGGTGTGAGGTATGCTGTGTCGAAGGGAGGGGTGGGTAGCTGTGTCGAAGTGGGTGGGTGTAAGGTAGTGGCTGTGTCGAAGGGAGGTGTGGGTTGCTGTGTGAAGGGAGGTGTAGGTATGCTGTGTCGAAGGGAGGTGTAGGTAGGCTGTGTCGAAGGGAGGTGTGGGTAGGCTGTGTCGAAGGGAGGTGTGGGTTGGCTGTGTTGAAGGGAGGTGTGGGTTGGCTGTGTCGAAGGGAGGGGTGGGTATGCTGTGTCGAAGGGAGGTGTGGGTATGCTGTGTCGAAGGGAGGTGTGGGTATGCTGTGTCGAAGGGAGGGTGTGGGTATGCTGTGTCGAAGGGAGGTGTGGGTAGGCTGTGTCGAAGGGAGGTGTGGGTTGGCTGTGTCGAAGGGAGGGTGGGTATGCTGTGTCGAAGGGAGGTGTGGGTATGCTGTGTCGAAGGGAAGTGTGGGTATGCTGTGTCGAAGGGAGGTGTGGGTATGCTGTGTCGAAGGGAGGGTGGGTATGCTGTGTCGAAGGGAGGTGTGGGTATGCTGTGTCGAAGGGAGGTGTGGGTAGCTGTGTGAAGGGAGGTGTGGTATGCTGTGTCGAAGGGAGGTGTGGTATGCTGTGTTCGAAGGGAGGTGTGGGTATGCTGTGTCGAAGGGAGGGGTGGGTATGCTGTGTCGAAGGGAGGTGTGGGTATGCTGTGTCGAAGGGAGGTGTGGGTTGGCTGTGTTGGAGGGAGGTGTAGGTATGCTGTGTTGGAGGGAGGTGTAGGTATGCTGTGTTGAAGGGAGGTGTGGGTATGCTGTGTCGAAGGGAGGTGTGGGTTGGCTGTGTTGGAGGGAGGTGTAGGTATGCTGTGTTGGAGGGAGGTGTAGGTATGCTGTGTTGAAGGGAGGTGTGGGTATGCTGTGTCGAAGGGAGGTGTGGGTAACCATATAATATCCTAAAAAAATACCTGTATTTAATCTTTAAAAAATTTATTTTTTTTAATATTTTTGGGTGCCTGGAACGGATTAACTGTATTTACATTAATTCTTATGGGAAATATTATTTTGGTTTTTGGCCATTTCGGTTTTTAGGGTGACCGGGAATGGATTACGGCCGATAACCGAGGGTCCACTTTATTTTGTTAATTAATTAGATACGTCAAAATCAGCCCGTCTCTTGATCAGACATCATTTCACTGTTGTAAAGACAGTCGAACGGGAGACTGATAAAGGCAGCTTAAACCTTGTTTAAGCTGTCTTTATCTTTCCCTCATTCAGTGGCTCCCAGTTCACTGCTCACGGCTGAACTTTTATTGCCTTTATCTTATATTTAGATATTTTTTCTGTTGTGGTGTTATACTTTTTGATGGACAGATGATAATGTAACGTAATCTGATTTAACCAAGGAATTTGCTGAAATTCGTAGTTAAGAATACACATAAATACTTATGGGATTAAAAGGATGGGTTGGTAAATATGGAGTTATTTTAAGCAGTAACTATTGAAATTTTGACAAAATTCTCGAAAAATGTAAGCCTATATTATTTTTTTTCGAGTCCAAAACAATTCCCTCCCAAAATTGGCAATAGACATGGCAGATCTATTTGTTTGATCATTTACTTCCTGCAAATGTAAAAAAAAAAAAATTGTTTTTTAATCGTTTGTACTCCAATTTCTTAATCAGTGTCAAAGAATCCAATCAGTAACATACATAGATATTAGGTCAGGAGGGGTCTTTTTTTATTTTTTTTTACACATGATGACCTGAAAACCAGGAAGATATAAACCTGCCAATTTGAGTGTGAAGTAACTTCAGTGCGTCAGTGTAGTATGGAAGCGAGGAACGTCAGTGTGACATTTGTCAATAGAATAATAAAGTATGTATAAGCTATTTTTAGGCTTACCTTTTCCGAAGTGTTATTTATTTCAATACAGGCAGCAAAATTGAAACCGGTCAGCTAGTTGGTTAATGGGGAGGCAGGGGGGAGGGGTTAAAGCTTGTCGACTGCTCTAGGGTCAATAAAGCTCCACCTGACCTGGTCACCACCAGACATGAATACTTTCACCTGTAAAACCGATATAAAATAGGAATTAAACTCTCAGCATATATACTCTGAAATACACCTATATATATACATCCTGTTTTTGGAAATTAAATATTTCAGGAATAAGAAATAAAAAGGGAAATAAAGACTCTCATTTATATAAATTTTTTTTAACAAGTCGGCCGTCTCCCACCGAGGCAGGGAGACCCAAAAAGAAAGAAAATCCCCAAAAAGAAAATACTTTCATCATTCAACACTTTCACCTCACTCACACATAATCTCTGTTTTTACAGAGGTGCTCAGAACACAACAGTTTCGAAGCATATACGTATAAAGATACACAACATATCCCTCCAAACTGCTAATATCCCAAACCCCTCCTTTAGAGTGCAGGCATTGTACTTCCCATTTCCAGGACTCAGGAATGCAGTTAGAAGCCTGAGTAGATCTATAACCCACTATGATAACATGAACGTAGATAAGTATGTTTATGGAGCAACTTGCAATGTGAACAGACTGACTGATGTTGTAGTGGCCAGGCTTAGGCTTGGTTACAAGTACTTCTGGCAGTTTGGGAGACACACAGATGATGATCAAACCAAATGTAAATTATGTGATCAGGCACATGGTCACTCTCTTGAACACTATGTGCTTAATTGTCCACTTATTGAGGAATACAGAGACAGACAGTATAATAACCTATGTGACATGTCAAGATATCTTATTAATGAAAATAAGATACCAGATATACTAAGCAAATTTCCTAAATTTGCTTGTAACAGATAAGTGAACTATAGATATGTAGATATAAATCCATATGTATTCCTATTAACCCTTTGGGGCCTAGTTCCTAGGCCTTTTGTGCATCCATATGCTCTCGCGCTACCGTCCACAGGATGGATATGGGGTGCACAATAAACTAGCCACTTCGGTGGCAAAATCTAAAATCTAATCTAAAGTCCGGCTATACAAAAAATAACCGGTTTCCTTGAATCCCTTCACTAAATATTACCCTGCTCACACTCCAACAGATCGTTAGGTTCCAAATACCATTCGTCTCCATTCACTCCTATCGAACACGCTCACGCACGCCTGCTGGAAGCCCAAGCCCCTCGCCCACAAAACCTCTTTTACCCCTTCCACCCATTTCGAGGACGACTCCTACCCCGCCTTCCTTCCCCTACAGATTTAAACGCTCTCCATGTCATTCTACTTTGATCCATTCTCTCTAAATGACCAAACCACCTCAACAACCCCTCTTCAGCCCTCTGACTAATACATTTATTAACTCCACACCTCCTAATTTCCACACTCCGAATTTTCTGCATATTTACACCACGTATTGCCCTTAGACAGGACATTTCCACTGCCTCCAACCACCTCCTCGCTGCTGCATTTACCACCCAAGCTTCACACCCATATAAGAGTGTTGGTACAACTATACTTTCATACATTCCCTTCTTTGCCTCCATAGACAACGTTTTTTGTCTCCACATATACCTCAATGCACCACTCACCTTTTTTCCCTCATCAATTCTATGATTAACCTCATCCTTCATAAATCCATCCACCGACACGTCAACTCCCAAGTATTTGAAAACATTCACTTCTTCCATACTCCTCCCCAATTTGATATCCAATTTTTCTTTATCTAAATCATTTGATACCCTCATCACCTTACTCTTTTCTATGTTCACTTTCAACTGTCTACCTTTACACACATTCCCAAACTCATCCACTAACCTTTGCAGTTTTTCTTTAGAATCTCCCATAAGCACAGTATCATCAGCAAAAAGTAACTGTGTCAATTCCCATTTTGTATTTGATTCCCCATAATTTAATCCCACCCCTCTCCCGAACACTCTAGCTTTTACTTCTTTTACAACCCCATCTATAAATATATTAAAAAACCATGGTGACATTACACATCCCTGTCTAAGACCTACTTTTACCAGGAAGTATTCTCCCTCTCTTCTACACACCCTAACCTGAGCCTCACTATCCTCTTAAAAACTCTTTACAGCATTTAGTAACTTACCACCTATTCCATATACTTGTGTTTATAAGGTTAATCTGGGCTTATTTTAATTCTAAAGTTATAGGCCTACCAAATTAAACCCTAGCTTTTTAATTACCATTTATTCTTATATCGTATTAGCATTTAATAAACATGAAAAATTCATACATTCCGAATTTTCCTTAGTCTTTTTCATAGAAGGTTGAATTAAAATTTGAGTAAAAGTTATAATAATTTATTGGACAAGGAAAATGCGAATTGGCAACTGTTTTGTACTTTCAAACTGACAGAATATTCGCTCCAATTCAACATTTTTTTTTTGGGACATACACAGTGGTATATGTATAGAAGTAGACATGAATAATTCGTATACTGTACATACTGAATATTCGTGGATATACATATTGTTATACATAATATACGTGTTAGTCTTTGAGATAAAGAATATTTGTGAAACACTGAATTGTTCAAGAAAATATTTAATATGGAAATATTAAAAATTCCTGGTATAAGCAGTTTAACAAACTTATTGACCCATGCTAGGCAGGTCTTCCTAACATCCAGTAATTCCCAGTGAAGTCTTTTTCTAACTTATTTTTAAACCTTCCCTAAAGCATTGGCTTTCATGACGTTATTTGGCAGTTTCAACATTCTCCTCATTCACGTCCATCAAGGAGCTGGTGCCATCCCTCCAGTGTATCATACCTCATTATCTCCCATTTCTCAGCTGCCGTATGACTTCTTTGGATTTATTGCCTCCCCACGAATTAAATAATTACACTAATTTCTTCAAATCTGAATCCACTGATACGATTACTCAGTAGACATACGTACAGCACTCACAAATATACAGTTTATACAACATAATCGGTATACCAAATTGAATAAAGTTACACTGACATGTGACAATTCTCATTGGTAAGGCAGGTAAAATCTATTACAGGATAGATGTAAGTGCGCTGGTAAACAGGGGAGAATGGCGAAGTTAATCTTACATCAGAAATATTTCCTAAAAAGATGAATTAAAAATACTTGCAACCGAGAGAGGAGCAGAATGAGGGGATTTTTAAAGGAAAGGAGCAGGGATAAAAATAAGGTGTTGGAAATATCTTAAAAAAAAAAAAAAAGCTCTATATAAATTCAGATTTAGAAAGCCAAGTAGCATAATTTAAACAAACTTTTGATCAATTTTAAAACAGGTTACATAAATGTATATGACTTATCTAGCATGGGCCATTAGTCCTTTGGGTGTGCTCCATTATGTGCATAAAATATACTCGTGGACATAAATATTTTTATTACATATCCTATGAAAGACATCTTATACCCACAAACACGCAAAACACAGCATAAAAAATATAACTTTCATCCTCGTCACTTTTAATAACACTCCAAAACTAGTTGAGGAAGTTATAATGTGTTATACTCTGTTCCTTGACTCTCCTGGGGTCTACACATAAACCTTTCCCTCCCGGTCAGCGTTGTTTGACCCTGGCCGGATTAGCGATGTTTTAATATAATTCCCCTCACCCCCCCCTCCAAGTAGTTACCAAGAAACAGCCATAACTAGTATTTATCAAGACTACCACCCATTAGAACCCACAACCTACCAATGAACCACTTTGGAACCCCAATGCACTTAACTAAATCATATGTATATATGTATAAAAGTCAATAAATAAACTTTAATTTGATATGTACAAAAGCTCCAACTTTCAGGCATTAAGTCTGTAATTTATCTATTTAAAATTATGTATTTACGTTTGCCGGGAAATGAGCTGTAACTCTTGGTCCCCTTCTTAACACTAATTTTCCAGCTGCCTCAAGTGGCCTCCTTAATTAATTCTTCTCCTTCTTGGACCCCGCCTCCTTCTTGTGGCTGAACTTAGGAGGCAGAATCACTGGGTCTATATCCGAGCATATGTCCACTTCGGGAACGTATATCTGACCCTCCGGACATTTCTTTCTCTTCTCGTAGCCCACTTCAACGGGGGTGAGTCTAGTGGGGTACTGTGGGTAGTGAGGCTGTGTTTTGGAGTCATCACTCACTAAAGAATCTGAATGGAGAACTTCATGACCATCCATGTCAACACATCTGAGCGAAAAAAAATGAAAGGTTAGTTTATTTACAAATGACCTTAATTTCTAAACAAAGGTACAGTATATAAAACAAACGAACTCAAATAGTGAATATAAATATCTAAATTCTAAACGGGAGTACAGCCAATGTTATATATACCCATAAGTGTTTGTCTGTGTATATAAGCAGCGCTGTATGGCCCTTGTGGCTTAGCGCTTCTTTTTGATTATAATAATCTGTGTATATACACAGAGGTGTATGGCTGTGTATTGTATTTACACAGATGGGTGTTCAGTTCTCGGTGTATATACACTAAGTTTACTTTAATTCTTATATTAGGGATTAATATGGCCTTGAGTGTTGGTAAACAGGTTACATGCAGATTTACTGACCTTTATGGTCGATACGATTTAAAGCCAATTAACCAAGCAAAAGTAGAGCATACTGAAATCTAAGGACACGTATATTCCAGGTCACAGGTTATATACACCGAGAGGTGTATATCGCTTAGGGTATATATGTTGAAAGCATCCGTGTACAAGTTACATGCAGCCTAATTACCGTCGTGCATCTGATAGCCAGTAAACTTACCAAGGGTTTACAATCTGTATGAAGTCGTCGTCTTCAATCAGTGAAGCCTTCAAAAGACAGTGCTGTAGAGCAGTTTTCTTAAACATTTTTTTACCTTAAGAGTATAGAGGGGCATTCACAAGGCCATTTAACCGCGGAGGGTTATTAATCAGGATAACCTGAATACAATGGCTTACTTCCATTGGGGTCCTCCCGTAGGATGCGACCCACAACAGCCAATAAACTCCTTGGTACTTCTTTGTTGCCAGGGTGCAAGAGAGAATATAAGACAAAATAACTTACAGATTTACCTCAACAGAGAGAGAGAGAGAGAGAGAGAGAGAGAGAAGGAGAGAGAGAGAGAGAGAGAGAGAGAGAGAGAGAGAGAGAGAGAGAGAGAGAGAGAGAGAGAGAGAGAGAGAGAGAGAGAGAGAGAGAGAGAGAGAGAGAGAGAGAGAGAGAGAGAGAACAAAGGCGAATAACTTACAGATCAACCTCGGCGATGTAGACTTGGCCAGAACGACATTTATGTTTCCTGAGCTTCTTGACTTTAGGTACAGTGATGATATAACTTGGCTCTCTCTCAGCGTGGTCTAGCGCTAGGGCCTGCTGTGCCTTCTTCAAGAGTGCTATACGAGGCTCGACCTGTTCAGCGGCCTGCTCTGCCTGTCTAATGGGGGCCATCCAAGGCTCGATCTGTTCAGCTATCTCCACTACTGTCTCTCCGTCGAGGTTATCTTCAAGGATCTCCAGTATGGGTAGACGCTCCGGGCTAGGTAGCACGGAACGCTGGCGGCTCTGTTCGTTCACAGGACGACATCTACAACAAAGGTAAACCACTGTGACCACACTTAAGAGACACCTAGATGATTAGAATACTTAAGAAGCTAGTTGGTTTATTGTTCAAAGCCTATCGACTACACGAGGGTCATTAATGCTGCAAGTCACCTATACACCACCAGTCAAGAATACTTTAATACAAAGAATAAAGTAAACTCAGCACATATGGTTGTAAATGGTATGGTGATACCGACAAGCTGTGGATAAGGAGTAAGGACACTTATGTACAGTTCAGGACAGTTATTAGAGAAAACGCTTCACCACGAGTAGCTCCATCAATCCATAAAGCCACTCATGGCGAAATGTTTCCACTAATAAATGTCCTGAACGGTATATAAATGTTCTTATCAACATCCCATCATGTGCACACTGTGAGATACATACATCATGCTATATATAACCTTATTCATAAGATTCATTTTTTTATCTAGTAAAATCTGCAAATGGTTTTTACAGGTGATTGTCGTAATTCATTAATACCAGAGTTGCTACCGTGTTGCAAGTTGATATTACGGCCTCACGCAATTTATATGATGAGGCTCAGATAAAGGGATATGGTTGGGGACAAGTGTTTATATCAGGTGTGGAGGTAAGGGGGAGGGATGTAGTGGAGGAAGAGAAGGGGATAGTGGTGGAAGGCCGCAAGGGATGGGGGTTGATAAGTGTTGGGTATTCCCCTGAGAGGTAGGTGGGGTAAGTTGTTGACATTGGAGACGACGAGGCTACCTGGGACGACCTCTAAATGTCCTTCACTCCCCCCCCTCCCTTTCCCTTAAGGTCACACAGAAATACCATCTTGAGAGATGTTGATTCCCACGTAATAGTTACACCAGCTCTGCAGAGGAAATCCTTATTCTAGATAACGCTTAGCTCAGGATTGAGTTTGTTCAACTATTTTCATATAAAATCTCAGTCTTGCCCAAAATGACTTCTAAAATTAAGGCATGTGCTCATTACTTGTCTCAATTCACACCTGTGGGCTTGTTACCCCAACTCCAGCTCCGCTGGAACACAACATTTAAATTCTAGCGACTGAACCTATGATAGCATGCTTGACGATATCCCTATCGTCCTACTGAAATCTCCCAGGTCCTGCTGACCTATTTCATTACTTCATGTAGACACAACCCATCCTATGTGATGGAATACGATAGGGAAACATAACTAGCTTTTATTCCCATCATGTAGCGCTCATGTAGAACAGGGTAGCTGCAGGTTTGAACTTAGTATTGTAAAATAAGAAAAGTCCCTCTAACCCCATTCATCTTAAGAGTACCTCTCACCTAGATATCTGCCCTCTTGCCCCTTTCATTAAAAGCACCCACACCACGCCATTGGCGTTTGTTGGGTTATCCTAGCTAAATCATCATAATATATCACCAAGATGTGCATATTAACAGCTCTATGCTGAATGTAACCATTGTAAAAAAATAATATTCCATGTAAAATTATCGGTAATTATCCTAATTAAAATTTAAGACCAGTACCAAAGGAAGGTCGCCAGGAAACGAATACAGGAGGGACAACGGAGAAAGGGAGGAGACGGGGGATTATTTAAAGGTAGAAGCTATATTGATATTGACAGTATGGATGGAAAGGTCACAGGTGTATAATACACTTTGGACACCTTTATTGGATACGTTTCGGTCCTGTGACCAGGTCAATCCAAAGGTCCTAGGACCGAAATATATCTAAAAAAAAAAATGTTCAAAATGTATGCACTTTTGTCCTTTTATCCAACAATTATATCTCAGGGATTCAAAAGAGCAAATACTAGGCAGACTGACCACACGAACCGTGATACTCTTATGAACTCCATGTGTGACTTTCTGGAGCCAAAACTCAACCCCCAATACACAAACTGGCAGGCGACCTTGCAGAGAGTCATACTGATGTGTGTTGCAAGGTCTCGCCTTGCAAGGTCTCCAGTGTTATTCCCTCCCCCTCCCAACACATCCCTTCCTTCCACCACCTCTGTTGTCACATCACATTATCTCTGCCTACCTAACATTCTCGTTGCCCTTCGCTTTCCAATATTACCTCCTCCTTCCTGCTCTCTCTTTTCCGCTTTGTTGCCTCTTCTTTCTCTTCTTTTTCTCTCTCTTCATAGCATTCTCTCCTCCTTGAGTGGGTGTGAGTTGGACCTGACTAGCTTGTGCTACTAGGTCAGATGCCGTGCTCCTTCCTTAAGTGAATGTGACCTGACCTGACTAGGTTAGGGCGTTGGCTTAAGCCGGTAGGAGAATTGGACCTGCCTCGCATGGGCCAATAGGCCTGCTGAAGCGTTCTTTCTTATGTTCACTCCACCTGCTCTTTTAATTACCAGTATCCTCACACTTTTATCAGGAGTCCCCAGTGACCTGTATCTCCTCTTCACCCTCCTTAACCACTGCATTTACCCACATCCTCCTCCAATATCTTTCCTTCCTCCCTCCACACTTATCACTAGGTGAGGTGTATGAACGTGTCCTGGGTAATTGATAATTACCAGACCACCTGTCTTGTATATAAATCTCGTGTGACTGGTAACAGCTGGCGACCCATACGATGATGTTTTATTAGTAAGCATTTTTTTTTTTATTGAGGCCTCATGCATCACTGAAACTTGATAATAGTTTAACGTAGGAAATTATGTAGAACTGAATGTAGGCTAACATTAAGGTCAATGTGACGTTTTCCATTGGGTCATTTTATTCAAGGGAAAGCGCAAAACCCGCAAGGGTCATACAACGCCTTGGGAGAAATGGGATAAGGTAGATCAAACTCCTTGAATCAAAAGCCTTTTCACTGCCATGAATTTTTTTTAACGGCATCGGTTGATGCCGGTTGGGTTGATTTTTACATTCGAAGTGAGGTGAGCCAAGGACGAGAAACATTCATCGTCACTCATTTAATAGATGGGTTGTCAGAAAAGTTTGCAGAAATCTAATGAATGAATGATGGCGAGTGTTCTTCCTTTTTTGTGGGTCATCCAACCTTGGTGGCAGATGTGTTAGAAAACAAACGTACATAGGAGCAGTGTGTTGCTACCCTATTGTTATGGGTAGACTGACGAATAGAATGACGGGTAGAATGACAGGTTGAATGACGGATAGAATGACAGGTTGAATGACGGATAGAATGACGGGTTGAATGACGGGTAGAATGACAGGTTGAATGACGGGTAGTATGACAGGTTGAATAACGGATAGAATGACAGGTTGAATGACGGATAGAATGACAGGTTGAATGACGGATAGAATGACAGGTTGAATGACGGGTAGAATGACAGGTTGAATGACAGGTTGAATGACGGGTAGAATGACAGGTTGAATGACGGGTAGAATGACAGGTTGAATGACTGGTAGAATGACAGGTTGAATAGTGGATTGATGGAATTACTCACCTGTATGATGGTGGTAGGCCTGGGAGGGGGGGATTACAGTCTAGTAGGCTGGCTCGACGAGTGAGTGCTCGTCCATCTGTAATACAACAATTACAATACAATATAATAAAGCAATACGATTAATACACCATAATACAGCAATACGATTAATACAACTATAATGCAGCGGTGTACATCTGGGCTTGCAAAAATCTCTGTGGAACAATATCCAAAAATACAACACAATACCCCAAAATACAATGCAATATAATAAAAATCAATAAAAAACTCCAAAAACGGAAAATGGTACCCAAAAAAGCACAATACTTCATCCACAAACAATCTTTCGTTTCACAAGTCACTAAAATTTGATTCCATAGCCTAATATATTTTCTTTTTACTTATATCAAAACTCCTTTTAAATAAACAGTATAATCACTACCGTATTAAAATTGAAAAAGCTATGTAAAGTTTATTTGCGATCTAATCAATGAGGGATGACTAAAAATATTCGGTATTTTGGCCTTCAATCACACCTGCTATATTCTCTCAAGATTCTGGTAATTTTAAAAAACACACTAGAAAGGGAAATTTTTATTTTCGACGTTTCACCCTATGAGGCTCTATTATAAAACGTTTTACCCATCGGGGCTTTATAATATGACGTTTTACTGTGATTCTTTATATGACGTTTTACTGTGTCTTTATTATATGACTTTTACTCACAGTAATGCTTAATTATTCGAAGTTTCACCCAGTGAATATTTATTATACGACATTTCGCCCACAGTGCAACACCCTAGAAGATCAAACTTAGATATGATACATATATTTCTAAGATTTCTCAAATCATCTCAGATCTTTGAAAAGATCTTTGTACTAAGAATTCTAAGCTATATGTACCATCCAAGAGCCTTTAAAAAAATTTAATCTAAAGAATTCTAAGCTATCTGTTAAGACTTAGTACTTTAATCTAGTGTTATATAATTTCCCTGGTGTGAGGGGTAACTATGGTGGTCCTCAGGAGACACGCAAACACTCGCATACTCAGCGGACGCACTCACTGCGCAACACATTCTTTTCAAAATCCATAGCCAGCACATTGGAGCGTGTACAGACTCAATTAAAAGCAAGCGAAGGCTTCGGTTTATTACCCCCGGGAGGATTAATAACCACTAAAAAAAATTGTGGCTTGTCTTCTGTGGTTCCTCAGAGCCTCTTCCGTAGGTTGCGACCCACAACACTTGATTAATATAAATGCTAGGTAGCTATTTACTGCTAAGTGAACAAGAACAGCAGGTAGGTGTAAGGAAACTTGCTCACACGTCTTATCTTCACCGGGTATTAAAACTAAAGTCTTTTCGATCAGGAGCTACAATAACATTGGATAACCAACACACTGTAGCCCTTGCTCACTGCAAATAACAGGGAGATGCGCTAGTGTCCCATCCTGCGGTAATTTCAAATACTTTATGCTGTCTTTGTCACCATCATCATTATCTTTGTCTGCTCTGGCAGTTAAATGATATATAGATGCATTGTTATCTTGCCAAGTAGTCTTTTGGCCTCAATATACATGTTGAGCGGGAGACGCTTGTTGTTCAAACACTAGCCAAGGACATACTTATACACGCCTTGGTTAATGTAGATATATATATATAAACGTCTCGTAGCTAGGGAGGACTCCATGATCTGTGCTAGAGCATTTAGCTTAACCGAAAGGACCGGAGCTCGATTCCCGGTTGAGGTGAAACTTACGGGCAAGTTTCCTAACACTTGCTTCCCATGTTCAGCTATCAATAAATATGTACCGTGTTAATCGATTGTTGTGTACTGATTCCTGGATAAGGGCCAGAAAGACTTCAAATGAAATAAGCCAGACTGCTTTCTTTGGTTATCCCGTGTCAGCGGACAAGTGATCGCATATACGCATGTAAACCAACACATCTGGACTATAAGATTACAAGACTGGCCCAACAAGTGACTACTGAAATTCGATATCAACAGAAGCATTTGTTGGTATTGAATTCCTCCGGTGCCATCTTGCAGTTATCTATGTGCTTACCTCTCTGTGGTTGCCTGGGTTGAGTCTCAGTTCCTGAGACCCCAAATTACACACAAGCAGTAACATTAATCTCTGCCTCGTGGGCCCTATTATATACAGCCTCAAAGCACTCTCATGAAGGTTGCTTCACCACATCCTGTGAAGCATTCTGCGTCTTTACCTCTCATTTAAGCTCTCTGGTGATGTACAATTGACATGCAGCCTTAATGGTTCTCGTGTAGTCAAAAGGCTTTACTCTTTAGGTTAGAACTTATGAACGCTCGAAAGGGGGCAGAAACTGCCTGTACCTACCTATGCCTTCAGATATCCCACAGGGATACATCTTATTTGGACTATTTTTTCAGTGCTCTTTCATCACCTAGGCAACCGTTGACAACAAGGTTTGTCCGCACTCGACCACAATAAATTTTTTTCTGTCAAACCACGTTTAAGATTTTGGCCATCTTCCCACCGTTGTCGGGTTTGGGAGACACGTTAACGCTTACCACTGGACACGCGGATATCACATAAGGAAACAACTGGCAATCCAAAATTTATTAATACTCTATCCTACCTATCAGAGTGCACACAGGATGAACTTCCGTCGTCCAAACCATCCCAGTACACACTAGATGGCCTCCTCTCTCAGGTTTAGCGCTTCTTTTTTATAATAATAATAATAATAATAATAATAATAATAATAATAATAATAATAATGACCTGTCTCAAAGTCCCACCGTTGATGCAAACTCTCTTTCAAAACATACCTCATTGCAGCAATGTGACCCTTACGAGCTTAGCGCTTAATTTGACGATAATAATTTAAAAAAATTAAACCAACCAAACACAGTCTTCATTATTATTACATTCATCAAAAGAAAGGCATTAAATCCACAAGTTAACGTTTGTGTAGTAACATGGTTATGAAAGACAATATCTGTAATCCCACAATATCCCGCGTATACAATTTCATGACATTGTGATTAATATGTCATAGAAGAGTTCTGGTCTCTGCTTGGAGTGGCCAGCATGCTCCTGACCAGCCCATAATCCATTAAACAGATGAATTCCAGAGGTGTATCAGGAGGCTAAATGAAACACTAATATTCAAACTTCTCGAAGTCCCTAGAACCACATTACTTTTTATTAAATCGCGGGAAGCGCTAAACCTGTAGGGGTCATACAGCGCCTGATACTAGGAAGGGGTGGACAGCTCCAATTACTAGGATCAAGAGCCCTAAAATCATCCCTCCCTCCACACACTTGAAGGGAAAACAAGTCAAGAAAAAGAAACATTGTCTCACAAGGAGGTGACAAATGGTGATGTTTTGATCGTCAGGAAATGTCTCGGGACATGGGTCCTGGTCGGTGATTGTTCTCCGTACCGGGAATATATTTTACAGTCATTTAAAAATCACAAGATCGTCACATAATGTTCCAATATGAGTGTGAAGGATGATATACGAAAAAAAAACTACACCGGATACTGCATGCTCAGAAACCATGGACCGGGAACTGGAAACTAACCCCTGCAGGCACAGCAATACTGTAGATTGGTGGAACTGGCTTCAAGAGGATACAGTCATTAAAAACATGATACAAATATAGGATGTCATGGGTATTATCTTCCCTTGCAAGACAGGATATTTCGTTTAATATCTTTTCTTGTAACTACAAATAAATGAAGACAGCAAGTAGGGTCTTACGACGGCGCCTGCGTCAGGAGGGTGGGCAACAGCCACCAGGACCTGTGGGTGGCGCAGGTATGATGTCAGCAAAAACATTCCTTGACATGAGTCTTGGTCACATGACGACTCGCTCAGTGGCTCTCTTGGTCATGAGACTGTGAAACTTTTCTTGGTTCACTGGTTCACCCCGTAAAAATAACTAAGATACATTATAAGTTGAAAATTTTATTCGGATTATTAACGCAGAGGGTTAGTAACCCAGGATAACCCAATAAAGCCACTATATGTGGTTTATATCCATTGTGGGTCCTTTGATCTTCCCCAGGAGGCGACCCACGGTAATCGGCTAAAACCCCGGTAACTACTACTACTAGGTGAACGGAAACAATAGGTGTAAAGAAATATGTTCACCGCTCCAACTTGTGTTGGGATCGAACCAAGGTCCGTCAGATGCGAACCCCCTTCCCCCTCAAAAAAAAAAAAAAAACTATCAGGAAAGGCTTTGCGGGGGGTGCAGGATAGCCTAGTATATTTCACATTCTAATTTTATTTTTCCTCTCTTATCTACCCACCTCACGTGCTAAGTATCCCCACTTCCTGTCGCTGTAACTCTCACTACTTGACATTAAAACGCGCAGGAAGCACTGCCTTCCCCAGCAACACAAACGACAAACAATCACATGCAGCCACTTCCTCCTGGAGCGATGTTTTGTCCTGTCAAATGCGACGATACCAGGAAATCCGAGTCACTGATAAGGAATTTAGTGAGGTCATAAACAAATTAATAAAGCTGTCATTGTGTTTCCTATCACAGTGAGCATCCTGGGTGATCATTATTGACGAGTTAACAGTTACATCTGTTTTCCTACCGTCCTTTTGGGTACTCAAAACAGTTATTTTGATGCTTTCCTGCACATATAGAAGAATGGTTGGGTGTGATTAGGACCTGCCTAGCATGACCCACAATGCCTACTGCATTATCACCTTACACTGGTTGTCTGCATTTTTTTTCCTCCAGTTTTCGTTAATAACTTGAGAACGCTTCATCGGATCGGCTCCAAATTTTCAACGTTGGTGTACTGTAAACTGGGAAAGATTCGTGCAATTATTGGCATGTGCAGGTACCGTCTGGGCAATGTTATACGTGTGACCTGAATGGCTTTGCTGATGTCTGAGCCCCTCCCACTCATTTCGTGTAAACCCACACATGAAGAACAAGACATGTGGAACATCTGGGTATCTTTAAACATATCCAGATGTTGCACATGTGTTCTGTTCTTCATCTTGTCGGTATTGTATACCTCACATGTACAACCCCGCGCATGCACGTGAACACCCAGACAAAACCCAAGAAGCAGTGTCACG